GAGTTTCCTCACTACATAACAAATTTCTAATCATTCGTTCAGTGTTCTGGAACTTTTCTCCTCACACGTCGTCTATCTGAATCAATTCTTTTGAGACTTGATTAACTGTGTTGGACGTTTCGCTACATCATGATACACATATTCATCAGTAATCTACCTTTGTATTCCATAAGTGTATCGATTTCTATAATAATTGTGATTTTAAAATATTAAAAGGTTGTAAGGAGCTGATGAGAATCAGGCGAAATAAAATGCGTTTATATTATTCTGCATCAATCTTTATTTGCGCTCTCTTCAAGGTAGACTTTTCATCTAAGTTCAAAGAGGTGTTGTGGGTGTGCAGTTATGAATTTAAATATGGCAGGTCAGGGATAAATTGGTGTAGTAGCAAACTAATGGGAAAGCAATTTTTAAATTTAAGGAATAAAATCTCGTTTGCTTTTAGTATTATTACCTATGAAGGGTAGATTTACGTTCAGTCACGTTGGACTGAAACCAAAACACTCACTGAATAATTTATGTATAGACAAGACATAAACACGGTAAAACGTACTTCCAGATGATATCATCCTTATGATTGCATAATAATTTCACCATGAATTAAGTGTTGGAAACGATGTCAGTTATTTAAAGGACAATTGTGTCTTAAGTCGTTACAAACTTGGACATGAATTTTCCAAAACATTAAGTGAGAAACTAAGATCAGTGGAGTCAACCACGTTTTGAATGAGACAGTAATTTATGGATCAAATTCAATTAGGATATTGATAATATAAAAAACACTGGAGTCGAAAGACATAGGCTTTATAATATAAAACTCCTGACTGATCTTTAAGTATATCTGTCACTTCCGTTTCAATGAAGAATTGTAAGCTCAACATAAGGTAGGTTTTCAAAGTTCAGACAGAACAGAAGCTAAAGGCTTACTGAATTTGCAGACAGTAGTTCTCTAGGCGATGATAGTTCGTGATAATAGTAATAATGCCTTGATTCAATATTCTATGTTTAGTAAAATATGGAATTTGTGCAACTTGAACTGATGTACATACGTATCAAGTTCTACGTTGCAGCAGACTGACTGATAAACTGTTATTTCCAGTCCAAAATTTTTCAATAAGTTTCCTTTACAGCACAAATAAAAAAATCGATAACTACATACATAAAAAAACAGTTAAGTAAACAAAGTATCTGGAATTTCAATGAAATGTCTGTTTTATATGAGGATCTATACAACTTCTTATTAAGAACATGTTCAGGAATATAAGTTTTGACTAGGTTACGTATTACTACATGTTCGCGGCATATTATATTTGCTAAATAATGTACCATGGAGCTATCATAACTTTGTCTGAGTGCATATATTCTAATGTTTTGGCGTCGTCTTGTTTTATCAAAAAATATACAAGGGGAAAGATGTGAATGGAGCAGAGAGTTGGTATAAGATAAGATAAAACTTGACAGGAGCTTGCAAACTTTTAAATATCTATCACTATCATATTCACAATGACTTCAAAAGATCCACCGCATACTGCTGTACTAACCACATTCGGTATTCTCCACAACATGGCTAAATATTGTCTCAAAACCGCGGGAAAGAATAATGCGGAACAGTAAAGCATAATAGGTAATATGCAAGAGTTTACAAAGAGTAAAAGTAAAGGTAAACGGGAAACTTCACTCGATGTCAATAAAACATGAGAAGACCAAGAGAAGTCAGAGGAAAAACTTACATCAGGACAAATAACCTTTGATACTGATTTCGTCACAGAATCGTCAATGGTACAAACTTCATGAGATTCCAACAAGGTGTTTAGGTCCTGTTCATGTGACAAGTTAAAATTAACAGCTTTTCGTTTAGAAAAACTAGGTGTAAGACCATTAACGATAGATCATCGTTCAGTAAACGACAACTCATTCATTACCATTAAAGAAATCAGTGTACATACAGTGAGATCATCTGCACACTTTACAAAAGCGTTTTCTATGGATGACAAGTTGTGCATAAAAAACAAAAAACGGGGAAGAACAGCTCTTCATGGCACACCTTATCGACTTAGTAAAGAAGACGTTGAACAATTTCTTCCGATTGCAGTATATTTTCATTTTCCAGAGTGGTACGAAGACATATAGTCAGTGTTAACGCCGACAAGCTTGTTTAGTAGTTGTGGTGTCGGTATGGTCTTCAAATGCGCATCGAAACTATCGGTCACCTGTTTCTAAGCTGAGCACGATATTATAATGCAGGACAACGATAGCATCTAAAGTACTTCCTCGACATTCGCAAGCAAACTGATAAGGATCAATATGCTCTTTTAATATGAGAGTAGCAAAAGTTCTTCCAGTGTGTTAAAAGGTGAAGTTTTTGTTGTAGATTTAAATTTCTCTCATTGATATCACCAGATACTTTCGTTGGAATTAGAAATATCCCCTTATTTTTCTCTACGTTTTTGGTGAAAAATTAGTTGATAAGGATTCTTCAAAGATGAATATGAGTGGATGAAGCACGAAGTCAGCATACTGCTTAAAAATGAGGTTTAGAGGTCTCATCAGATCTTAAACACTGGAACGAGTTAAATGATTACTGACATAAGGGCCATTTCAATTTTTGTCATTTACCCACAACTGAACTCAATTATGAACAAACTAGAACGTAAATAATCAGTACAATTTACTTACACATCTGTTATACCGAGATTAGATATTGTCAGTCGACGAAATTCATTCTCTGTAAATGTAATAAAACAAGCAATCGATAAGAACTTAAAACATGTATACATGTAGATATACATACGTAATTGATTGATATAACAACTTTATAGTTGCTCATTTCGAAAACAGTTTCAAAATTACAAATCTGTATTCAATGTACTTTTAACAGTAGTAGATACAAGAGAAAAAATGGCATGAAAAAGCTTCAATAAAACTATATTGTTTTTCAGTAAGCCATAAAACTTGTTGATTAAACTGTGAACAGCAGTGTAACATATCAGTATTATATAATATATACATATTTAATTTTTTTTGAAACCATGAATCGGTCAATGTTAGACCACCATTAGAAACCTGGAAGCACTGGACGGCCGTTTCGTCCTAGTATGGGACTCCTCAGCAGTGCGCATCCGTGAATTCGATCAAGTTAGACATTAAGACCGTTTGATACCAGCTCAGTGGTCTAACGGTTAGGGCGTTCGCGCACAATACCGAAGGTCCTGGGTTCGAATCCTGTGGGGTGCAGGAGTCATGGATGAGCACTGCTGAGGGGCCCCACACTAGGACGAGACGACCGTCCGGTGCTTCCAGGTTTCTAATGGTGGTCTAACATTGATCGATTCATGGTTTCAAAAAATGTGTAACTTAACAATCTTCACAACCCCGTCATACATATTGATATATGCGCGCAAGTGCGTGAGAAAAATTGAAAGAAAAGCGTACTCGAAATTTTCTGTTCAAATTCTAAGAATATTATATTTTTTTTAAATAAACATAACCTAGATATTTACTCATTAGACATTGACGCCGTTACAGTTCTTCATGACGATATACAAAAAAACAAACAGATTTCTAGCATTTTGAACAGATGATTTTGTGCAGAATGTTAAATTAATTATTTTCGATTGTCTTTTACATTACCTTATTTGAATAAATTCGATGATTTGAACTCACTAGTTAAATTTTATACAGTCAGTTACAACGTAGAACTTCTTACGTATTTACATCATTTCAGGTTGCCATACCATATTAGCACAGAGATGCAATTGTCACTTCAAATCCAATAGTAGTAAAGTTAGTAGAATTAGTATTAGAATTAATCGGAGAGATTAGGGATAGACTATATTATTCGAGAAGTAGAATCTAGTGAAATAGACTTAAAAAGAAAAAGATAAACGTGATGAGGAAATCCGAGGTTAGGATCTGGGCAAACACAAAGAATCGATGCATCTGCGCCATTCCAAACGGTTTTGAGCCATGTCATTTAAGGTCTCTAACGACTGATTACTATGATCTCGCGGACTTCAACCAAGTTATCAACACCTACCAAAATGACTCAGTCCACTTGTCAGTGACTTCATCCATTTCTGACATGTTTTGGTTTGGCCGGCCCTAACTTTCTTCCAACCTACTTCTACACTACAAAACAAAGCCCGTCGAGGCAGTCGGTGGTTAGCCATACGCAACACATTTTCCAACCACCTGAACTGATGAAGTCTCACTACTTCGTCTGTTGATCTACTATCCCAACCGAGTACTCGTTTCCTAACGACAGGATTGCTTACTAAATTCTATACTTAGTTGACCAAGTGTTAACGCAAATAATCATTTACAATCAGTATGCATTAATGTTTATGTTGATTATAGAGTAAAATGATTGAGCACATTAATCACTTGACTCAACACCTCTGGTTCGATAGTAGCTCGATGTAGAGTCAATCTACCATTGAGAACACTTCTGCTATTGTGACGTTATTTATCTACTTATGAACGGGCAGTTATAATAAGCAGTTAAAAGACTTGTGTCAATTTATAAACTTTTATTTTTTTTTCGCCAATCGTAATTAGTAGGAATTTAATCTCATCAAAGTAAAATGAATTTACTTTATTGACAAATCATGTTGTTCTACTAATTTAAACAAAATTATCGATAGGATTCGTTATACAAATAGAGTTGGATTAATACTTTTTATAATTATATAATATAACATTTATTACAGAATATGAATTTATCTGCTTCATGCCTTCTGGCGAATTGTTAGCAATAGAGACAATAGCAAAAGTAGACTAGATCCAATATTGTTTCAAACACTTTAATGAATAATCAGTAGTCTTTATATAGCCTTCCAACTAACAAGTAACCAAACTCTAAACAGCGGACTACTTTTTTCTCATGGATTATGGCACATTACAGTTAATTAATACCATTTTGTGATCAATGCATTAGTACGGACAAACGTAAGTAACGTAGAATCTAATGCAAAAAGATAAAACACGCTTCCACTAATTAGTCAAAGTCGAAACATTATCACTACGGTAGGTGATTAAACTGCAAAATCGTGCACGGAGTTCAGCTGACAGACTCGTTCAGGGTGAAGATCACTATCAGGTAAAGTTGCTCACTCTCACACTTTTTCTTTCTCCTGGTGACTGAATGGATTATAAAGACGTCAACATCTGGACAGAAGCACGGTATACATTGGACAGGTAGGATGAAGCTAGACGAGCTGGACTTAGCAAATGATCTGGCTCTTCTATCGCACACGCAACAACAAATGAAAGAGAATACAACCAGTGTAGCAGCAGTCTCTGCAGCAGCAGGTCTCAACATACATAAAGGAAAAAGCAAGATTCTCCAACACAACACAACATGCGCCAACCAAAGCACTCTTGAAAGAGATAACTTGGAGGACGTAAATACGTTTACATATCTCAGCAGCATCATCGGTAAACAAGTTGGATCTAATGCAGATGTGAAGACACGGATTGCAAAGTCAAGTGCAGTATTTCTACAACTGAAGAACATCTGCAACGCGAAACAACTGTCAACCAACACCAAAGTCACAATTTTCAATACAAATGTCAAGATGATTCTACTGCCTAGGGTGGAAACCTGGAGAGCCATGAAAGACATCGTCCACAAAATACAGGCATCTATTAACAGTTGTCTACGCGAAATACTTCGGATTCGTTGACCAGATACCACCAGTACACAATCTACTGTGGGGAAAAACAAACCAGATCCAGGTGGAGGAAGAAATGCTGGAAGTGAATAGGACACACACTGTGGAAAGCACTCAACTACGTCATAAGACAAGCCTTCATTTGGAACCCTCAGGGTCAGTGTAAAAGAGGAATACCAAGGAACACATTACGCCGAGAAATCGAGACATATATGAGAAGAATGAATAAAAATTGAACAGAACTGTAAAGGGAAGTCCAGGGCAGAGTAGGTTGGAGAATACTGGTAGGCGGCCTACGCTCCATTGTGCGCAACAGGCGCAAGTAAATAAAGTAAAGTGAGTAATATATCACGATGCATTATTTTCGGTGGTTATGGGTTAAAGGTAGCCAGTAAGGTTGCGAAACTATACGCGTTTTGAATGGAATAAAAATGGTTAGACTCATGGTTTGTATGAAAACTTCATTATCTAAGAACAGATCAACTTACCTGATTTTTGCGATAAAAAGAACAATGGAGAACAAAAAACAAACATTGGAGTAAGTGCAAACAGTTGAAAAACACGAAAACGCAAGGCCAATATATATGCGACGCCATCAAGACCTGCTCGTTTTGCAAACTCCGAAGATCTATGTGTTAGAGCAAGTAAAATAAATACACATTCCATGAATGATGATGATGATGATGATAATAACAAGTATGGAGAAAACAAGTTATCTATTCTTTTTCTTATAAATGATTTATACACATGAACAGTCATGATAATAATTTATAGTTCTTCTTCAAATCGTTTTACTAAAGCAAAAAATATCAGTATTAGGCATGCGTTGAAATCAACTTAGAATAGATAATTCAACTTTTATAGCACCCATTTAATTGGATACGTGAATTTTGAAAATATCACAATGGTTCTTAAATGAAATTAGATAATTCATCTGGAACTGAGTGAGTATTGTCAATTAAATCCTTTAAAATACATAACTAGTACAATAAAACAGTTATGAATATATAAAACTAGATTATGAGTACTGAGAATCAAACCCATCCCTATATGATAAAAACAAATCAGAATGCAAATCTTACGTTATATTATTGTATAAGCATAGTCACAGTTGGTTTCAAACCACCATTACATTGGTAAGTCAATAATATTCTATGATGTATATATATGCCCATTATGTTATCAAACTGAACAGACAATAAATCTGCATGATCACATGATGAAGTTGCTTGACTACACACTAGAGTATTGCCCTTCCTACCCCATTAAACACTATCGATCAACTACATGCAGATACTAAAATAATTCTCTTACACGAGGGTTCATAATTTTAAAAAATGCACCAACAAAGAATGTTCAACAAGCGATATCTATCTAAACGAAAATCTCTCGTCAAATTACTTCCTGACTCTTGGCTAACTTTAAAAATTAAATGGCACTACTACTAAACAGTACTATTTTAAAATCATAATTATTATTCTTTTAGTTACACACAACCAAAATCAATAACTACATTAAACACCCATTAAAAAAAATCGATAGGTTACGTTATAGTACAAATTAGCATTTTTTTTTCTTGAAAAATAAACATTTACTTCCTTAGTGTACACAAAAACAGATAGATAGATAGATAGATAGGTAAATAGAGATAGACTGAACAATATGTATTTTGAAATTTAATTAATCATTAAATCACGTAAATCATTTCTATACACTTTTATCAATAACAACAACAATTATTACTACTAATAAATTATCTTTCAGTTGGTCTTGACAAACAAAGAAAACAAAAAATTGGGTTTGTATCTTTGCATACACAATTTACCACTACAATATTGACTTAAAGAAAACAAACAGAAATATTGGTATTACGGGGTTGTGAAGATTGCTAAGCTTTTTTTGAAACCATGAATCGATCAATGTCAGACCAACATTAGAAACCTGGAGGTACTGGACGGCCGTTTCGTCCTGGTATGGGACTTCTCAGCAGTGCGCATCCACAAAGAAATATTGGTTTTTGAAATTACATGGCGACTTTCAAATATCCGATGCAATCATTTGTTTTTTGTTTGATGATAGGAAATTGTGGTGGTCTTTTGTTTCCTGAGCTGGTTGTTTTGGTTGTGGAGCTTTCATTGTTCTTCTGAACAACATCATCAGCACGAACTTCAGATAGAAGTGAAGCATTAGAATTTCTCCACGTTTGACCTGTAGCTTGTTCTGCTAACCTCGATCTTGATTGGTTGTTGTTGACCTTTGAGCTGTCGTTGTTTGCAACTATGTTTTGATTGCCTCCCTCTTTTGATCTGTTTCTTGATCTAGTGTCACCTATGATTTTCCTGATTGGTTGATAAATTGGGTCAATGTCGATGTGTTTGTTGATTGCTAATTGACCTGAGTGCCAAGCTTCTAAAAATTCTCTAGTGTTCTTTGTCCTCCCCCTACCTAGTATTTCCACGTTGTTCCAATCAAATGTGTGTCCATAATTGTCGGTGTGTATTGATATAAGCGAAGCGTTGTCGTGGCGTTTGACTGCTAATTGATGTTCACGTAAACGGAGCTGAAGAGGTCGTCCACTTTGTCCTATGTAGTGTTCCTCACAGTTTGAGCAATTTATTTTGTAGATGATATTTGGTTTTTCTTCCTTTGTCATTTTGTCCTTTGGTCTACATAGGATTGACTGGAGTGATTCTGTTGGTTTGTGTGCCACACCTATTTCAAATGGTTTCAGTAGTCGAGCTGTATGCTCTGATATGTCTTTGATGTATGGTAGGATGATGCGTTTATTTGTTCCTGTGCTTGATTTCACTCCTGATGATAGTTTTGGTTGATGTTTTTTGATGAAGTTGCGTGGATAGCCGTTCTTTTGGAAGATAGTCATCAGATGTTTTTCCTCGTTTTTTAATGTTTCGTATGTGCTGCAGTGTGTCTTCGCTCTCTTGAACAGAGTTTGTATGCAGTTAATCTTATGTCGTAGTTGAGAATTACGTCAGTGTGGGTTGGCTTCCGAAATACTTGAGTTTCTAGTTTTCCTGTGTTAGTTCTGGTGATTAGTACATCCAGGAATGATAGGCTGTTGTTTGATTCCTTTTCCATCGTGAATTTGATGTACTAATCACCAGAACTAACACAGGAAAACTAGAAACTCAAGTATTTCGGAAGCCAACCCACACCGACGTAATTCTCAACTACGACAGCAACAACCCAAGAACCCACAAGATTAACTGCATACAAACTCTGTTCAAGAGAGCGAAGACACACTGCAGCACATACGAAACATTAAAAAACGAGGAAAAACATCTGATGACTATCTTCCAAAAGAACGGCTATCCACGCAACTTCATCAAAAAACATCAACCAAAACTATCATCAGGAGTGAAATCAAGCACAGGAACAAATAAACGCATCATCCTACCATACATCAAAGACATATCAGAGCATACGGCACGACTACTGAAACCATTTGGAATAGGTGTGGCACACAAACCAACGGAATCACTTCAGTCAATCCTATGTAGACCAAAGGACAAAATGACAAAGGAAGAAAAACCAAATATCATCTACAAAATAAATTGCTCAAATTGTGAGAAACACTACATAGGACAAAGTGGACGACCTCTTCAGCTCCGTTTACGTGAACATCAATTAGCAGTCAAACGCCACGACAACGCTTCGCTTATATCAATACACACCGACAATTATGGACACACATTTGATTGGAACAACGTGGAAATACTAGGTAGGGGGAGGACAAAGAACACTAGAGAATTTTTAGAAGCTTGGCACTCAGGTCAATTAGCAATCAACAAACACATCGACATTGACCCAATTTATCAACCAATCAGGAAAATCATAGGTGACACTAGATCAAGAAACAGATCAAAAGAGGGAGGCAATCAAAACATAGTTGCAAACAACGACAAGTCAAAGGTCAACAACAACCAATCAAGATCGAGGTTAGCAGAACAAGCTACAGGTCAAACGTGGAGAAATTCTAATGCTTCACTTCTATCTGAAGTTCGTGCTGATGATGTTGTTCAGAAGAACAATGAAAGCTCCACAACCAAAACAACCAGCTCAGAGAACAAAACACCACCACAATCATCCACCTGAGCTACAAGTTTTCTCCACCATCTCATGATTGGAAATGTAGCCTACTGCTTTACTTTTTGAGTTGAAGCTTTTGATGTCATCAGTTTTGTGGATGCAACACTCAAAGAATTAGATGGGCACAATTTCAGGTCTGATTAGTTGCGGGGTTTCGGGTGCACATTCATCAAAGATTGAAACAGACAGCTAATGCTTTTTAATTTTTTAATGGTTTTTTCAACTAAGGCCATTTCGTGCTGTGAACTACGAAATGTCGTGATACTTCACCTAAAATATCTAAAATTGTCCGTTGTTCTCCGCACCAGTGAATCATCATCCGTGAATATATATATTGTATCTCTAACTGTTGACCGATATCGCGGTGACGATTACAAAACATCAATCAGAATTAGGCCTTAGTACCAGAAAATCCATGATTTAGCCGTAAATCCTTATTGGTCCACAACTAGATAGCTTCTTTCTCCCTACCCTACCTTTTAGTCTTAGTAGTGAATAGGGAAGACTAAATATATAATAAACTAGCAGTGGATTTGGGATTAATAAATCACAACAGCAGTGTTAAGGCGTTAATTAAAGGATTATAATTAAGAGAATATAAATACGCAACGATCTAGTTACTCAATAATTGTACAAAAAGAGTAATATATATAATACTATTTTTCTAATCTTCCTTTGGATATAGTAATTTATCGATAGAATGTAAAAGGCTATTTAGGTGAAGAATGAGTCTAAGTAAAATATATTTTTTATGCCTGTCTTTAAGAGTGAAAAACAAAGTTATATTTACAATGTGAATTATTTAGTGAGTGCTTTATCGAAAATAAATCTACACACAACAAATATCAATGCAACAATCAGCGACTAGTATTTATTTTCAACTACTATTGTTAGTACCCTCATTAGGATTAATTAAGTAGAAAAGGTATTCACAATGCACATACATTGTTGATATTGAAAAGATCATAAATCTAGACAGTTTTAACTCTCCGTACACATTAATGAACCTCAAATTTTTTTTGATTCAGTAACGAGACTATAATAACACTAATAGTTTAGTGATGCTAAACGGCGATTTTATGAAAAGTATAATAATAATTCTAAGATTTATAGGTGAAAATATTCTGATTCTACGAAGATATGTTTTCTGATGTTCAGTAATATTAGGTGTGAGAGAAATTGTAGTTTCATCTGTGTTTATACTAAATAAATGTTCAAATACTCTCAAATGTTGATATGAGTTCGATTCAGTAAACTTATTGGATAGGAGAATATCCTAACAGAATTATTTTGTAAGTCTAATCCCATTGGTCGTCCTAACTATCAATGTCACATACTTCAAATGTTGTTTCTTATTCGACCTTACTGCATAAATATGCATTGTCTGTAACGCTTTATAATCCAGATCCTTGGTCGAGGATCCTCATCCTCTTCTGGACTCAGACCGCGTACTTTCTGGGTACTTGTAGAATACACATTCTACTTCATATCGAAACTTCTTCCTCTTCTACTTCGTGGGGATTAGGACGCTCGGATTAGAATAGCCTGTCGTGTCGCCGGATCATCGATCCTCGCTCTCATTTACCTACTAAGGTGAACTCATAATAGTTCAAGCATATCAATTGACGTGATGAAGGTGTCAATTGGTAACAATTTCTCTTGTTACTTTGAATAAAAATTACAATATACTATCGGACTATCCTATAGTCAATATATAATTTGACAAGGTTACATATTTTTCTTTCAAGTGACATGACAAACAAAATGATTAATATGACCACAACCGTAACAATAATAATAACAACACACAACTACAGACGAATTCATATACGCCAGATTATATATTGACAATTCACATTCTCGATAGACATAAAATCAACTTTGTGAATAGGCATGAAAAACATTTAGCATAAATTCAATAATTCCAAATGATTCCTTCAAAAAAACGCTAAGACTTAATTGTCAATCGAAAAAAAAGAACACCAATCGTTCAAATTTCTATCAAGAGATTTTTTGTTCAGTATACTTTACATACTGTAGTGTAGGAATAGGTTGGAAGAAAGTTAGGTGCGGCCAAACCAAAACATGGCAGCAATCCATGAAGTCATTGACAAGTGGACTGAGTCATGTTGGTAGGCGTCGACTACGTGGGTGGGGTCCGCGAGATGATATTAATCTATGGTTAGATACCCTGAATGACATGGCTCAAAATTGTTCGCAATGGCGCCGGTGTATTTATTCTCTGTGTTCTCTCAAATCCTAATCTTCTAGATTCTTCAACACCTCTACTTTTGACTTTCTAAACTTTTCTCACTGAATCATACTTCTTGAATAATATCTTCTAATCCTAACCTCTCCGATTACTTCTAATTCCCTTACTACCTCTTCTACTATTGGATTTGAATTGACAATTACATCTCTGTGCTGATGTGGTATGGCAACATGAACTGATGTACTTACGTGCAAAGTTCTACGTTGACTGACTGACTGACTGATACTTTACACACCTATTGTTTATTTTTTCTGTCAAACTTCAGCGATATTAATTACCTAAGTTAATATACAGTTCACTATTATTTATTTAGCGCAAATTAACACCACAAAACATCATACAGTAGTAGGTTAACAGTATCATTTTAGTTGCAGTTTATTCCTTCCTACAAGTTATATGTATAACGCGCAAATTAACACATACTTACCGACCTTGTCAAAGCATGCAGACTGAAAAGAATACCTACTAACATTGTCTTTTTTTGTGGACATAAGTTTAATACCAATCACCATTATCATGCAGTAATAAGTGTTTGGTTATTTAAAGCTCCTCTTTACCTCATCTGTTGAAACAACCGAGAACACTTTCTTTTTTTATCTAATAAGTTATAAACTCAAACTTAAAACTCCCAACATTCAATAACAACTGTCTAAATTCATGAGATTTGTTTAATCAGACTAAACAACAGAGATGGACACTAAATAGTGTTTATCTCATTAATCTGACTCCTGGATGGAGAAAATGATACAAGTTCTGGACAGAATAATTTTTAGGAAATATGTAAATTTAATTCTTTACCATCATATTTTTTGGAGACGTATCAGCTGAAGTAATACAGAATATCAGGTTGTACGGCTTAAAACCGATTGAATGATCCATTTTCATGCATAATTTAATTCGTCTTACCCAGTCTTTATGTCATATGAGAGAAAGAGAGAGAGTTTACACCTCAAGAAAAAGGATTTTATTATTTTAACCATAAGGTTTCTTATTATATTTCTAGGAAACATAAGCAACACAAACTTTTTCTATTTGCATGAATGACATCTATACAGGCAATGAAAGTCAACGAGCCCATATAAGCGGTAATATTAGAAGGGCATTTCTATAAAAGGACAATTGGAAGTCACAATAAGTGTGATTTTTGACTGAGTGCGCAAAAACATCAGGTAAAATGATTATTGGTGCATACATTCAATGTATCCGAATATTACTGATCGACTGTCCACAAATAAAGGTTTAATGAAGATGTAGTAGGAATGGTTTGACATAGCATTTGAAAAAAAACAACATGGCCTATAGGTTTTATGATTCATTCAGTCAGCTGCCTGACAAAAGATTCCTGTTTTTCAAGGGAACAATTAAACAGAGTCGCTTTTTGAAACTATGCAAACGTAGTCATAGTTAGTTTACACAAAGTAATAGAAAGTTGTTGCAATATTAGGAAATTTAAATTTTAGGCATCAAATGGAGGTTACGTAATCAATCAGTTACTGATATGCAGCAAAGAACCTGGTAACAATATACATCAGTTTAAGATGTCACATCACATGACAGCGATAAGATAAGAATGTAAAAATAAATCGACGAATAGTATTAGCGGAAGTATTAACAGTAGTACTAGAAAAGAGTGAATATCAGAAGAATAAAAAGGTATAAGAATTCGGGACTCAGGATCTAACAGCAGGTAAGGAATGAATCTTGATCACTCTGAACGATTCCGAGTCATGCCAACTAACGTCGCTAAGGACTGGATACGAGGATCGTGCGGGACCTAACCAGATAGTCTATACCTACTTATATGTCTCAGTTCAACAGCCAACAACTTCATGAACTGGTCCCACATTTCATTTGACCACTCCTAACTTTCTTCCAAATCACTTCAGTACTTGCAAGCATCGTTCACGAAGATAGGAGGTGATTAGGCATAAGTAGAACATGTCTCAAGCATCTCAGTCGACGAATAATCCCTACTATATCAACCAATTTCCCATCTCTAACTACTGTAACGTGCGGAGAATTCAAGACCAGATAGAATATATATACGAAATATATACACAGTCTTCACCCATTGATTTGGAATCCAACTACGTCATTGACTGTCTTCTCTTATATCTCTTCTAACTTCAAAATACACTGATCACGTTATGCATTTCGATCTTTCAACACCCTTTTCTCTGGAATCAATTTTCATGTGACGCTTCGGCGAATACTACATATGAGTCACTTTGTGAATAGTATTCAATACACCAGTACGCCATAATTATCGTCACCATTGATCACTCAGTCGTTATAGGGGCTGATCTCACTTGGAAACATTATTAGCAATGACCAAAGAAGAATAAATTAGGAAATCAGCTATGGTGTGTAAGTGAACAGAAAACGTTGCCGGAAACAGGACGAAAATTACGGTTGGAAAAGAGGAACGTAGCGTAGCAAAAAATTGATTTTAATAATGATATGAAATATGATGTAAGCAAACAGGAGTTCAAATTTTATAAACAGAAGAGAACAAAAATGTAAGTGCTTTAGTGGATTTAAATATCTCAGAGAGGCTGAATTGTTCATTGAAGGATAATAAATCATAGACGAATCAATCAGATTCAAGCTAGGGCCTCTTCAGCGAAATTCATCTATTCATATAAGTAAACAGCACTTTGGGATCATAACTGATGTCATTTCATGATAAGAACTGTAACTCAAATTCCTGAATCAAAATCCGAACCATAACTCCTAACCCTGACTCATTACACTAATTCATAACTCTATTTCAAACTCAGTAAGTAGTAGAAAGTCTCTCAAGTGTATTTCATTATCACTCAATAACCGTTCACAAATCGAGGGAGGCATGAATCTCGGTGCAATGAAGAATCCATATATCTTCAAGCCACATTGGCATTCGAAACACCACATGTATAAACTGCAAACACCTGAGCAGTTTTGAGGTTGAAAGTAAGATCCTTGGTATATATAATCGACACAATAATAAATTTTCATTCATCGACCTTGGAAACAGTGACCACTCACTCGTCTCCTACACTACCTTAATAGCACAATAAATAGTGTAACAGTAGGTTGAAGCAAGCTGAAACAACCAAACCAGGAGAGTTTCAGTCTTTGATACTATAGACTGTAAAATTTCAACTTCTTAGCTCTTATTCGTGACAAAATAATTGTGTATTGTTGGAACCGCTGTGTAACATGACCTGAGTAGTGATAGTTAGATATTCATTTCACTAACTGGTTAGTGACGTAATGAATGTTTCAAAATCTTTGATGTTAAAATCGACTTAAGTCATATTTATTTTAGATCAAGTAATTTGTAAATAAATTTGCTATTTCTCTGCAGAAAAAATAGCTTTTCATTCACCCCATTATTCAATATTCTCGTAACTATTCATCTAAGAAAGCATCTAGAGTGGAGAACTAGGTTTCCATAAGTACTCACCACTCAGTCATAAATCTCATTAGTTGAAATGATTGCATAATCATGACATGTTCTCTTTCTGCATAAATTTTGAATAACTTTGCTCATTTCACATGTCTACTACCTCTACTACTATGGGATTTGAATTGACAATTGCGTCTCCGTGCTAATGTAGTACTACAGCAACCTGAAATGATGTAAGTACGCACGAAGTTTTACGTTATAACTGACTGACTGACTGACTGATTGAGGTCACAAACATGCTAAACCTAAATAAAAAATTAATCCTAATTGTGTTTAACATTAAGAAACAGTTTACGAAAGTTAATTTAGACTTTTTTTAGCTACCAATAGAATGTGGAATTACCTGATTTTAAGGAAATAAGGAACGAACTTCCAAAATCTTGATTTATGCGTTGTTTCCACATAGTCCTGGAAATTTCTTTAATACAAAGAAAACACCGTATAGTTTAGTAATATTAATACAATAATGACAAAGACCAAACATTATGACTAAAAATTCATAAGTAAAATGAATGAATACATCAAACAAGTGTAAATAGTTCATAACTCCTCAAGTGTAAACAAACGTGATAAGCGATCAGTTCGTCACATAAACGTAACACACTTAAGCAAAATAAAATGTAAATCAGAAAATTTATACACAAGAAGACAAAAATGACGTGAAAACTTGACATCAGATGTAACAACTCCCAATTGTGATATTCTAATACACCATAATGAAAAGAAAACCAATTTTAAGAAACAAAACTAATAAAAAATAATTCAAAATAGAAAATAATATCAATCACGGTTGATGAATAGTTAAAGCACATGACTTGCAAGCATTGAATTACAAAATTAAATCCTCTACTACATTTAATTATTTTTGAGCATTTGAGTAGCACCACTAACCAGCATGTATAATCTGTTACTTAAAATAAATCACTCGGACATGTGACTGCTTATATAGTTTGATTTAAAAGCACAAGTACAGGATTTAGTCATGAAGTTCCATATTAATTGATTTCGAATACTTACACAAATAAAGACTTCATAACAAAGTCCTTAATGTAATCAAAGCACCTTCTACATTCACATCAACTAGAATCGTACTTCAGAGTAAAGTATTTGAATATGTGAAACAACAAATGGCTTATTACTTCAGTCAGCACGGATCTACTAACTACAAATTTATGTGATCGACTGTGAGCCATATAGTTTATGTGAACATTAATGATATTAACCGATTATCCTGGTGATTAGAACGCTATTCAAGTTCTCGATCTATTGTCAGTCAGTCAGATGCAACGTAGAACTTCGTACGTAAGTACATCAGTTCATGTCGCCATATCACATTAGCACAGAGATGTAATTGTCAATTCAAATCCAATAGTAGAAGAGGTAGTAAGGGAATTAGAAGTAATCGGAGAGGTTAGGATTAGAAGATATTATTCAAGAAATATATGATTCAGTGAGAAAAGTTTAGAAAGTCAAAAGTAGAGGAGTTGAAGAATCTAGAAGATTAGGATTTGAGAGAACACAGAGAATAAATACACCGGCGCCATGGCGAACGATTTTGAGCTATGTCATTCAAGGTCTATTGGTTAATGGATAAAGGATTAAATCAACAAGCCATTCCCTAAATCCTTATTTTGAAAATATATAGCTTCGCATGTGACAATGCATAGTTATAGTTATTTTTAGCAACTCAATTATTTTATTTTATTCATGACAAACACTAGCCATTTATTATTATTATTATTATTATTATTATTATTATTATTATTATTATTCTGAATAAACAATAATTTTTGCTAATCCATAATCTTTATTCGTCTATGCATTATCTCAAATTAATCAGATTAAATTCTGATTTAATTCTAAATCTATAATTTTTAGAGAGCTCCGCATTAAAATAGAATTTTATTGATTTGTAATCAAAAATATTCATGCTTTCAAGTTCTTCAACTTGTTTTTTTTTTTATTTTATCGAGAGTTATAATGATTATTAATAATTAATTAGTTATTAAATCTGATTATTCAGATTGTTCACTAATTCATTAAAAGAGATCAGTAAAGAATATTATGCAGTTGAATAGCACCAAATCGTTGACTGATAATAACCGACTAACTTATCAGGTAGAATGAAAGTAAAAACTAGTCTTTGGGTGAAAGTATCTTGGAACAGTAACTTACCCTTAGACCAAAGGACTGGAATGATCAAACCAACTTGTTGAGGAATATTTTGATTGACCACACGCTACCCTCCAAATACTCACTATCTAAGGATAGCCTCCACCGAATTTTAGGGTCAAACCTCCAACTATTTATAAAATTGAAATAACTTTAACTAATGTAAAACGAAGACAAGCAAGAGACCTTTATGAACTATAGAGATCCTTAGGAATGATGACTGAGTATTTTCAGTAGTCTGATATTTGGATTAAAATATGTAACCTAGACGTATCATCATTCTACTGATCTCAATAACTGGTCAGTTCGGACGCTGTGAGTCATGAAAACCTTCTTTGATAAATATGAATAAGGCTGTTCGATTAGCAAAAGCTCCACGATCATTTTTGGTGAAATTATTGGATACTCAATTGAAGCTCAGCAATAGCAAAAAAACAGAAGTTTCAAATTTGGAGTGGATATACCAACAAAGTAATCACAGCCTATTGGCTAGGCAAATAATGGTGTACCACTGAAGAAGACTATACGATGGATGAAACTGCAATATCGTGCATGGAGGATAGCTCGCAGACTCGTTTGAAGTAAATACCAGTGTCAGGTAAGGTTGCTCACTCTCCCAATTTTTCTTCCTCCCAGTAGTTGACTGGATTATGAAGACGTCAATATCTCAGGAGAAGCACGGGATACAATGAAAAGCTCGGAAGTAGCTACACAACTTGGAATTAGCAGATGATCTAACTCTTCTATTTCACACACGACAAAAAATGCAGGTGAAGACGGTCAGTGTAGCGGCATCCTGAAGCAGTAGGTCTCAACATACACAAGGAAACAAGAAAGATCCTGTAACGCAACCAATCATCATCTGCATCACACTTGATGGAGCAGCTTTACAAGGTGTGGAAACCTGCATATACATAACTGGGCAGCAACAACATGGATCTGATGCAGCTGTGAATACATGGATTGGAAGCTCAAGGGCAGTATTTCTACAACTGAAGAACATCTGCGACTTAAAACAACTGTCAACCAATACCAAAGTCATAATTTTTAATAAAAATGTCAAGACAGTCCTAGTGGATGGAGCAGAAACTTGGAGAACCATGAAATACATTATCCAAAAGATACAGGTATTTGTAAACAGATGTCTACGTAGGATACCTCAGATTCGTTGACCACATACCATCAGTAACAACCTACCGTGGGAAAGAACAAAACAAATTCTAGCTGAGGAATAAATTAGAGAAAAGCGCTGGAATTGGATAGGAAACACATTGCGGAAAGCACCCAACTGCGTCACAAGACAAACCGTCACTAAGAGTCCTCAAGGCCAAAGCAAAAGAGGAAGACCAAAGAACATATTACGCCAAGAATCGGAAGCAGACATGTAAGGGTTGATTACCAATTAAGTAGAACTGAAAAGGAAGACCCAGGACAGAGTAAGTTTGATAATTCTGGTTGGTGGCCTATATTCCATTAAGGGGTAACAGGTGCATGTTAGTAAGTAAGCATGAAAGAAAACCGGAGTTAATCGCAAGCAATAATGGAGATTTTTAAACGATGAGTAAAATTTAAACAAGAATCTTTATCCAACCATTCACTATTGGACATTAGATAAATTCACAATATGAATAGAAGATATACCTTTTAGGGACAAATTCTTTTTCGATTATTTTTTGTAATATAAGATAAAGGCCAACACAAACCTGTGAAAAAGAAAACAAACAAACAAAAAATATCATAAAATCAGTGCAACAAATAAATGATCATTGTGGAACAATCAATTGAATGGAACTCACCACTCTACATCAACTTCATCGACTACGAGAAAGCATTCGATAGCGTGGATAGGAAAACACTGTGGAGGCTTCTTCGACACTACGGTGTGCCTGAGATGATAGTTAACATCATACGGAATTCTTATGATGAATTCAACTGCAAAATTGTACACGAAGGACAGCTAACAGACTCTTTCGAGGTGAAGACCGGTGTGAGGCAAGGTTGCTTACTCTCACCCTTTCTCTTTCTCCTTCTGGTGATCGACTGGATTATGAAAACGTCAACATCTGGAGGGAAGCACGGTATCAACTGGACAGTTAGGACGCAGCTGGACGATCTGGACTTCGCAGATGACTTGGCTCTTCTATCGCACACGCAACAACAAATGCAAGAGAAGACGACCAGTGTAGCAGCAGCCTCTGCAGCAGCAGTAGGTCTCAACATACATAAAGGAAAATACAAAATTCTCCGATGCAACACAACATGCACCAACCAAATCACTCTTGATGGAAATGCCTTGGACGATGTCAACACCTTTACATATCTGGGCAGCATCATCGACGAGAAAGGTGGGTCCGATGCAGATGTGAGGGCACGGATTGGCAAAGCAAGGGCTGCATTTCTACAGTTGAAAAATATCTGGAACTCCAAACAACTTTCAAACAAAACCAAAATAAGGATTTTCAATACAAATGTGAAGACAATTTTACTATACGGAGCGGAAACACTGAGAACTACCAAAGCCATCATCCAGAGGATACAAGCGTTTATTAACAGTTGTCTACGCAAAATACTTCGTATTCGTTGGCCAGACACCATCAGCAACAACGAACTGTCGGAGAGAACAAACCAGATTCCAGTGGAGGAGGAAATCAGGAAGAAGCGGTGGAAGTGGATAGGACACACATTGCGGAAAGCACCCAACTGCGTCACGAGACAAGCCCTCACATGGAACCCTCAAGGTCGAAGGAAAAGAGGAAGGCCAAAGAATACATTACGCCGAGAAATAGAGAAGGATATGAGAGGAATGAACAAACATTGGACAGAACTGGAAAGGGAAGTCCAGGACAGAATTGGTTGGAGAAAACTGGTGGGCGGCCTATTCTCCTTTATTGGGGGTAACAGGCGTAAGTAAAGTAAGTAAGTAACAAATAAATGATATTCATGCTGATCATTGAAATCTGGTTATTTGTATTGCATTCTGGAAAATCTTAAAACTGAAGAGTTGTTTTACTTTTTCATGGGTGAGCTTATTTTTGAAGAGCCTCGAATTAGAAAGTTCATTACATCATGTTATTTGAGTATAATTCGGTGATCAACAAATACAAAGTCGTTGACCGTTGGAGTGAATTGTGTAGGTAGGTTTAAACTATATGCTCTAACACATTTGAAATCATCAATCAATCATTTTTAGACCACCATTAGAAACCTGGAAGCATTGGACGGCCGTTTCGTCCTGGTATGGGACTCCTCAGCAGTGTGCATCCACCACTCCTGCTCCTCGCAGGATTCGAACCCGGGACCTTTGGCATTGGCTGATGAGTCCCATACCAGGACGAAACGGCCGTGCAGTGCTTCCAGGTTTCTAATGATGGTCTAACAATGATTGATTGATGATTTCAAATGTGTAAAAACGCAAACCTCCGAAACTGTTCCCCAAAATATATGCTTTAAGAATATTGTAACTGATGTGATATACTGTGCTGATGTGGTATGGCAACATGAACTGATGTACTTACGTACCAAGTTCTACGTTGCATCTGACTGACTGACTGATTGTAACTAATAAATGGAGAAGTTAGGCGGTATGTGTCAGATGCATTCACTCGTTTTCTTCCCTTAGATCTTGATTTTTAAAAGTCTTATACTTTTTATTATGTAAATTAATTCCTTCTTTTTGATTTATATCGTCTGCCGCTATACTTTTGTACTGCTACTAATACTCTTGCTACTTCTACTTCTTTGGTATTTGTTTTCATAATGTCATCTCGCTGGTCTGTGATGTGACGACATGGATTTAAGCACTTGTACTATGTTTTATGTTCGTTGTTTCTGACTAGATACGAATTTTAATTTGCAAAATTTGCTTTCATTCTAGTATCCAATAAGAATGTGAAGTTGCTTCGAATAACTTTGCCATGTAAAGTAAGTTATAGATGTAAATACAACAGATAATCAACTTCTCGAGTGTAGATAAGACAGTTAATCAGCTACAACGTAGAACTTTGTAAGTACGTATAATAAACCTTACCAATTTATTGGTAACAAATTTGAGGAGCCATAATAATTTAGTTAGGATTTTGGCATACAATGTACTTTTGATCCACAGACTAATGATGTAAATGTACGAAGCATTATAGTTAACATAGGATTTACAACGTTAACTAAAAGGTCACACAACCTAGACTCCAGAATTCCTGGAATTCATTAGCTATTTTAAGATTTAGATTTTTCTAGTAATCTGACCAAGCATGAGTACGTAGTGCGGTACTACTCACTTGACAATTTGTATTGAAATTATAACTAATCACCAAAGGTGATGAACAACTTAAGTCACGTGATGTAAAGTAAGAAAGGAATAGATTATAGACATTTATGAAACTGAACAGTTTTTCTCTTAACCAAAACTGGTTGTTATATACGCATGAAGATCATACAAATGGAATCTTAGACCTGAGTTTATCACGGTATTGTAATTGCATAACGTATGGCAGAAATCCATGAAGTCGTTGACTAGTAGACTGAGCCATGTCGGTAATTGTCGACTACCTGGTTGGGGGTCCGCGAGATGATAATAATCGATGGTTAGAGACCTTCAATGACATTGCTCAAAATCGTTAGCAATGGCGCCGGTGCATTTATTCTTTGTGTTCTCTCAAATGCTAATCTTTATGGATTCTTCAACACCTCTAGTTTCGACTCTCTAAACTTTTCTCACTGAATCATATTTCTTGAATAATATCTTCTAATCCTAACCTCTCCGCATTACTTTCTAATTTCCCTTACTACCTCTTCTACTATTGGATTTGAATTGACGATTACTTCTCTGTGCTGATGTGGTATGGCAACATGAACTGATGTACTTATGTACAAAGTTCTACATTGCATCTGACTGACTGAATTGCATACCGTCATTCGGTAATTATTGTTAAGATTTGGGTAAAATTGCAACTGCATTAAAAAAATCCTGTAATTAGTGAATACTATTTTTGATGTGTCTCACACTTGATAAGAACAGTTACCGAATCGCCCTAAAATACCTGGCGTTAGATAGTGAAAGAAACTGAATTCTTATCTGTTGTGTGGCTGTGAATAGTGCTTTATATTATATTTGCAGCTTTTGTTGCTATCTGCCACTGAAATTGCACAGATATGACGCTGTATTTTTCTAGGTATGGAGAGACTTAAACTTAATTATGGATTTGTAAGCATATTTCTAACATCTAGCATGAACAACTGAAAAAGCGCACCTAGGCTATTTAATCAGAAATCAGGAAATAATAAATTCAGATTGTGTATATCGCTGACTAAGTGATAAATAAACATAAGTATTTGATCGTTTTAGCTAATAAATTTCAATTTTACTTAATCAATAAATGTTTTAAAGCAATAGAACTCACGACGAATATGGAACTGTTGACTAACAAGTTAAACGGAACTCCTTCAAATCCAAATATATACTGTGAACTATTTGTATTTCGATATGAATGTGGTGCACATGTCGACATTTCGCCTTCACAGGTTTACATAAATCCAATTTATTTGTCCAGATAACTTTCAATATGAAATAAAAGAGCACAATTATTATTCATGAAATAACTCCATTATATAAGTTAATCTATGCTTGGAATCTTAAAATTTTGATGGGATTCAATCCCAATTTCAGGGTGATTAAATGATATGTGGTTAGATTAGAGTATCAAAAACTTCCATTTTTGCTCGACTTCTCCACACAACCTTTAGTAAAACGGTTAATTAACTTAACTTGATTAAGATAAATAGGAAATTCTTTTATCGTTCGTGTTAACTAACTGACGAATAAAAAGTTAAATTAAGACAAATTGGAGCTTCAGAACCAAATGGGTTACTCAATCAAAGACGACTTTGGACTTGGCAACAGTATATATCTAGGCTGATATACCATGTCAGCATAATGATGAGAAATCGGTACGATCACTAACAAGGGTATAGGAATAGTGGTACTGTCCATAATAGTGTTACAATAAATATGAGCAATAAAAGATCTAATTTTTCAATGTTTATGAGTTCTGAAACAAATTTATTTAGTACTCTACTTAAAATAATGTTACTTTAGCAAAAAACGACGATGGTGACTGTAAGTGGTTTAAGTATAATGAAACTGATTATTTCTTAAAACGAAATAAATACAATGCAAGGAAATATTAATAAAAACATTTAAATCTATTTAATCATCATAACAAACAGCAGATAAAGCTAAGAAAGCTCAATGGGAGTAGTTTCATCAATCCAAGTAAAAACTTATTTTCTCATGATACTATTACTTATGATCATTGATACATCCATAACATATGGACTGTTGATGTTAGAGTATTTAAGAATCGGTCATATTTAAATAGCCAAGAGGAAACTTTGAGCTTAGTATAGTATAAGTAAAGCCAAAGTCTAATGTACTGTGATGAGATTAGTTTAGTTCTGTTGAGCTAAATAGCGTTTGCTATGGCTTTCACTTGACATTCATCTGAAGCATATCTATATCTCAAAAGTAATATTCATCTGCTTCGTTTTAGGCAGGTCATTAATAGCTCATAAATGTTCTTTATCAATTCTATCGGAATTTCTTTCCAAAGCTTCAATAAAGATAAATGATTTGTGAGAAACTGAATTTTTAAAATTCCATACGTTAGGAAAATAAAGTGTTTTATAGATGACTTTATGATATACATTGAGCAACAAAAAACTAATTCAAAGATAACAAAATGTAACTTTAGCAACTAAAAAAACTTTATTAGTTGGGAAATTCAAACAAACAGTAGATTTATTAGTTGAAGTTTCGTTATTTTTTAAAGACATAAACGAACTACCGAACTCCTGAATGAAAATTAAAAACGCTATTTTTACTTTTGCTCATTAAGTTTGCCTATGATTTCGGTAATACTTATGAGCGTTTATCAGGTGTCCAATATTATTATTATTATTCATCGCTTAGCAAGCTAGACATTTAATAAGCACTCCGAATTCTAACTGAGATCATAAATGGACTTATCAAAGGAAAAAATAGATTCTTCTCTTTTGTCTTCGAAAAGTTCAATAGTCGGCTTTTATTTCAAAGAAATGTTGCCAGTATCACAGAAGCTTAGCGATCAAGAAGTTCGGTTTCATATGAATAAGCCTCAGCTTCGAACCGGGCTCGACATATTTCAGTCTAGGTAAACAGATAGCACTCAGACTCGTAACATTTCCAGGTACCGAGTGAATTAGTTAATTTTATGCTTAGCCATGGTTGACCACTTTCTCCATTCTTATTCAACTTTGTCATTGTAAAGCTTTCAGAGGCGACAACTTCATCGTCTGACCTTTCAGTGGTTTAACTTCCGCTGCGAGATTCACTTTTTAGTTCAGATTATGCACATGATAGAGCTATGTTCTGTGAAGACGCTGACAGAATGCAGTCTTCTGCCTCAGGATTAACATGCATCGGTACCCGAACTAGTGTTAGGGAGTGAAGCAGTCGAGCGCGTTGACCGCTTAACTTATCTTGAGTCTCATCACTGCTTTATATGTAGTGTCGATTCTAAGTTTCAGAGACTAGCAGCTTGACATTTGTACGTTCTGTGCACATTACTTTTTAGAGACTTTCATGAATAAAAATCGGATCTTCAAACGTTAATCTTTTGGCAATGTAGAAATTTATAGATATGAATAAGATAAATCCTTGGTAGCTCATAAGTGAACTAACGGGTGAACGCTAGGACTTGCAGGAACCGGATTCATCATTATACAGAATAAATGGATTAAAATAATTAGATATTCGCAGTTTTATGAGTTTTTCCAAACTTTCTGTACCTATTACACTGGAATTCCACAGTTAATTAATAACAAGACTAATTATTACACACCAATTTGTATAACGAAACTAAAGTCCATTTCCAATGGCATTTCCATGTTGTATGCAGAAATAAACACCGCTGTCTATTGAGGACTGCTAACTTAGTTTGTCGAGACTAAAAATGTTTTAAAATCAGATTATGGATTGGTTACATGGAAAAAATAAAAAGAGGTCATAAGTATTTAAACCACGGACCACTTAAGTGACCTAATACAAGAGGTTAGTGAAATAGTATTTTCGTAAAGACAGGAGAAATGTAGAGATTCTAAGCTGTTATAAAAGAGTTCTATGATATATTTAAAATCAAAATAGCAAGACTTGATACAGACTAAAATTTTGTTTTATAAGTAAGTGTGGTTTCGGATTTTATATTAATAAAGCTTAAGATAGGGACAGATATTATTTTAGTTGCATAATTATTTTCGTAAAGGTAGTGCGAGTAAACTGTCATTGTCTATCTGACAAAATCAGAATCAATATTTAGCATGCTTTAAAACTTTGTCAAAAAATTGACAGATAGCTGAGTAAATTTTAAGACTTCTAATACACAAGATGCGGCCAAGAAACGCTATTTCAAGGAGTATTAGGAAAATAATTATCTATTAAATCGTATCCTACACGCAAATATCTTTCTTACCTAAAATAGACAATATCTCTAAGGACACAATAACTCATGGTGTACCGAATCCTCAAGGGCGAATCATACCAAGGTCAGTACGATGCGTTCCTCGCGCTTAGCTTTCGGTTCGACTAATCTGATTGGTATAAAGAAAACCATTTTGGAACACAGCAGGAAATTCTCGTTATTTTTGATTTAAGAAGAAACCTTTATTTGAATAGTCTAGATTGGGTTGAAATAATCTGTTCAAAAATATGTGCAGTATGCTATTCTATCACTAGCCAAAAGTTCGCTCCAATTTTTTCCGAATCGAGGTATGCTTAGAAGGCTTTTTTTATATTTAGCGTAAGACTTGGCTCACAGGGTACTCGGCCTCCAAGACCCTTTTCAACTTGTAATATTTTTCGAAGTGAGTTACTTACCTTGTTTACATCAGCAACCTGACTTTGGTGAACAACTTTGAAATTCGGGAAGTTCCAATAAGAGTAAATAACAAAGTCACAAAGAAAACTTGATTGATCGTAAATAACTATATGTAACAGCTTACGTAAGGTAAGTCGGAGCTAGCTGAACACATGAGTTTTGATAAAAAAACTTTACATCTAAAATATGTATTAACTTTCCCACTTTGTGCAAGAGTCGTATCGTAAATCACGGCATTTTTAAAGTTTTGGGTCTGTTTGTTTCATTTCGCTACTACAGAAGACCTATATAAAACCTTAACATCACCATGTTGTTGTTTTTTACATATGCGCAGAGGGTAAAAATTAAACCAACTTATTGATGAGACCTTCTTTGTATACATAAAACCTTACTTTACTTTTACCGTGAAGTGAGCATTCTGGTAGGTCGATATATACATTTGTCACCAGTATCACTTTATCGCACGCTCTTTGTGTTGTAATTATTGTTCCGATACTTATACTTCATTAGATGTACTATAAAATGTGAGCCTCATAATAGAATGAAATCCTGGAAAATATTTTTGTCACACAGAAATAAACACTATAATAATAGTTTATTCTCAAGTAACAACATGTTACAGGAGGCATGCCAATTTACAGCCAAGATCAAAATGCCAAGATTGCTGACATATGTTTTGTAAAACGTTGTTCGGTTACTGAAATATTTCATAAGATGTATTGGTTTCATATAGATGGTCTGCAATGTATATTAAGAATAATTGGTACGAGTTGCAAAGCTTGCGTTGCGTTGATCTGCTAATCACTGCAAAACAATTCAAGATAGAGCCAGATCCGCTTATAACAAGAATTTAGAAGGTGAGTGTGCTAAGATCTGCTTGATATTCTTCAAATAACAAATTTACAGGCTCCTGGGTTAATTAACCAAGTCTTTGGCAGTTATCCAGAATAATATTTAAGGATTGGATTAAGGTGATGAAAAAAAGCAATAAAGAGAACGGAGAGGAGCAGAACGGAAAATATTCATGCTTAAGTCCGAACAATGACTCAGTAGATACTTTTTAAATTAGATTACTAAAAGTACACCTCCACATGTGGATGGTAATGAAAGCAAGTCACTAGTAAGAAAGCAAAGGGCAATTAATCGTATGAATAGAGGAAATTCAGAAAAACCAAATTGTTAACAGTAATGTTAATTTGCAGAATATAACAATGAGGCATAGTTATCTGATGCTTTTGTGATATTTCATTTTTTCTTTTTCTTTTCTACTCTGTAGTTCAAGAAGTCATGTGTGAGATCTTTTTCAGTATAATTGTCTAAATTTACTTGTAATAAGATTTCTTGGGAGGAAGCTAAAACCAGTTCAAGGTTACGAGCATGAGTCGTAGACGAGGCTTACAAGGAAAAAGTAACATCAATACCACTGATTTGTTACATCCTGCTATATCTTAAGGAGCCGTAAACAAACAAAATGTTCTGCCACAGAGAAATGAGTAGATTGTGATTACACCCACCGTCATGAATGTCGGTCAAATACACCACCACCCCCCATTTTGCGATGTTAGGCTCTCTTACGTCTAGTGGTAGAGTTCAAACCATGTTTTTTAGTATACGCTTTTTTTGTACATCTTGTCGAAATACACCTTACCTACCAGTTCTACGCTACAAACAAACCTGGCAACTTTGGCTTCTGTATCCAAGTACCATATCACAATGCTTTTAAGTAAATTAATGGTATAAACTGTGAATTATGTGTCAGTTAATAAGTAGTTTGGAGATAGGACGGATATGGAGCTGTAGAAAGAAAAAGAAGAGTTGAAATAATGATAAAAAACAATGAGTAAAGCGATTAGTTGGTAAGCAAACAAGGTGTTTTCATGTTAATGATTGCAAAATCGCGACTCTCAGAATTTGATATTGGCAACCGAAATGTAATTTTCCCTACCACAAGTACAACCACAAGTACAAGTCACAATATTAGATCAGATGGAACTCGATATCGAGATTAGTGCTTCGTCCTTCTTCATGCGGTCGTTAAATTAGCTTATGCCCTAATTTTTGTTTTCCACTACACAACCATACTTCGTTTTGAGAAATCAGATGAATCGCTGATCCTGACCTGACGGTCAAAGAATGCAGAGGCATTTCCAAGGGGAAACCTGAGGTGATAGATCAATCTCTCGTTTCCCTCATCACCTTCAAGTCTTAATTATCAAATGAAGGAGTCCTAAAACAAGGATGGATATGAGCACTTGTGTAGTTTAATGAAGACAATCTACAAGCGAGGCCGCTAATTAGCGAATGACTGTGTGATTATAAGAAGTTAAAATAACTAAATTATGTATACCTACAGAATATGTTAACGAAGACACAGGGATTTGATACCTTGATGATGTTTTTACCTATCACTGCTTGCAGTGAGTGCTTTCATATCTAGCTAACAGGGCTCACCCCACTTGTCTTCTGACCATGTTATTCATTCGCCAATATCTAAGTTGCTTTTGTCCGTGTGCATGGGCACTCCTACCTCACTTATTACATGGCCGGCTCATTTTTGTCTGACTATAAATTCCTAGTCAAGCTTAATCGAATGGAGTCAGCTCTCTCGCCTTCTCCGCTTCTATTCACTTCGCTTCGCTGAGTATTTCTTGTATGCTTTATCGTTATTACGTCCGCTTGGACATTTGTCTGAAATGAATTCATCCAACCAAATCCGCGTTTAGTTTCTTATTATTTCTGTTGCACAACAGGGGTTCGCTAAGTATATTATATGAAACTGATGGAGAGGTTTATTTCATGACATATGTAAATGTTCATAAATAGCGGGCTACCGAAATAGCGAGCCCTACGGCGAACTAACTACCACGACATGCTACTCAAGCAGCCACAAGCTAATCTTTTTAAACATAATTTCCCAGATCAGTTTGGAATAGAATATTTTGGAAGTTAAAGGTTGTAAAAGAATAGTTGACATGAAAATAAAAATAGCCAGACAAAAATTGAATGAATTTTCACCAAGTAACCGTGTTTTAGGAGCCTCGATTTCGGAATTTCTCTTCCCTCTGAACTTTCTGTTGATGAACATACGCTGGTTTTTGAACTTTGTTGGATGATACGGTACACCTATGTGGCTTTGAGCGTCTTTTTGTGTGGGAATATGGGGCTGTCTCTGACTGGTTTGTTGAAGACGAATAGCCTTGCCGATCTATCACCCGTTTCGTCCCTTCCTCCCAGTTCATGTCATCCCATGATGTATTCATATCCGGCGTTGATCACTCCAACCTCGAAGTTTAGGTCTCCCATCAGAATAGTTAAATACATTTTGGGCATTAGTTGGCGATTGACTGTTGAGTGTCATAACAGTGATCTCTTTCATCCTCATCATTATCTTTAATAGGTGCATAACAATGAATGACACTGATTACAATACCCTCTTGCTTTGTTAGAAGGATGCTTTAACGATCTTAGGTCTACGGGATTTCCATCCTGCAATTGCTTTTTGTGTTTTTTTGGATATCACCAGTACAATTTCTTGAGTAGGTGAAGCATTTTCCACTCCATATCCTGAGTATAACAGCATTTCTCCTGAAGCTGGTCCTTGTTGTCTAACCTGCGCTTTGATTCCAAGTACCACTAGATTGTATCTTTTAATTTCTACCCAAACTTGGATGACTCTCCCGGACTACCACATTAAATGAACATTCTAAGTGCCTGAATATAATGATTGCTCGGTTTGTCAGAAGGGGCATCTGCCTTCCGGCACGAGACGTCATAGCTCTCCAAAATGAAAAGTTTACATAACTTATTTCCTACACCTGACAGCGCCAGCTCCACTTGTCACATCTTCTCACTAGAACTGCAAGAACTGACACGCAGAACAAATAGTACGATTTTTCATTATCGAGTGACGGAGATTGGTGAAAATAATGAAATCGGAGTCCTAGTCAGATGTGACTAGTAGAGTTCAACAATGTTGAGTGTGGGCGGTAACTACCGAATTTAGTGGGTGAGGTTGGGCAAAATCCTTAGATTGATCAGAGTTAGACAGGATGCCGGCCCAGTAATCTAGAGGTTAAGCACTCGCGCAAGACTGGACTTCCTGGCTTCGAATCCTGCTAGTAGCATACGTCGTTCATGAGTTCTTCCGAAGAGTCTGACGCTAAGACTAAATGACCGTACAATGCTCCCAGGGGGTCTAGCAATAATCATGTTTCTATCGTTCACTAATTCATCGACTTAAGTCGCGTTAGAACGTACGTTGATTTACAGAATACTACAGTCAAGGCGCAGGGATTTGATGCTCAGGTGATATTTCATTCATCGTTCTTTCAGCTCTAGCCCAAGGAGTCTCGTTAAGCAGGCTAGATTTTCCACGTCTCCTTGACCAAAGATTGGAGAGCGAGTACCTTATTTTCATCCAGCTTGGAATTAGTGTGACAAAAGTATGTTAATACACAGACAGCGAACCACTGAACCGAGTACTTTGTCACAATACTCCGAGACTATTTAGCGGATTCTCTTACATACTCGATACTTTCATGACAAAAAGGGTTTCAGTTTTCTCCAATCTATACCAAAAGTGTGTTAACTCCGCCTCTCACCCTTCTGATATTTATGCCGGTCTATAGACCTGATGAAGCAGAACGATTGGGAATAGGTTTGATGAGTCCATCCCACAGAAAACTAACTAAACGCCAAAAAGAAAAAATAATTTAAACCATTTTAACTCTGCAACAGGAGATATAGGGTCTTCAGTCAGAAGAGTTGTGACGTCTCATGATGAAAGCCGTGTTATTTTGGAAATCACGAAGCCGATGCTCCCTCCCACAATCTGAGCAACTATTCTTTTCGGAACACGCAATGTTCGAGCAACGTCGAAGGAGAGCAATCTATTTCAAATTGCCGCGGAGATGAAAAGATTCAACCTACAGATGCTCTGGATCAGCGAAACGCATTCGACTCCGGTTGAACAAAAAAAGACTAGCAGCAGAAGAGTGACTGCTACAATCAGTCCTCCTCAATTTTCTTGAATCTCATCAGGGCGCAGATGCATCCCTCCATCGGTCCACTTTTAATGTTCTCTCAAATTCTAATCTGAATTCTTCATGGCCTCCATCTTTCTCCCCTTAAATTTATTCCAATAGTTTATAGTCCTTCAATATTAATCAACCTCTTTACGGCTCATACTTTTACTACCTCTGTGGAGCAGATGCATCCACCGTTCGTATTCTCCCAAATTATAGTCCCCTGAATTACTCATCACCCTTATATTTCTCTTTATAAGCTTATTTCAATGGATTATACTTCTTGAATAATCTTTGAGACGCCTGATTTTCTTCATCACCGCTGTTACTTACACTTCATCTACTACTATGGCATTTGAACTGACAACTGCATCTTTGTGCTATCATAATACGGCCACTTGATGTTCTACGTTGTAAGTGACCGACTGACTGACATAACTTCAAGGTTCATTATCTAGTTACTCTCTGGGATTTCTTACAGTTCTGTTGCTAGGTGCTGGAGTTTCCTTTCATCTACCGGCTTTGGATTTCCAACCTCTACACTAAAATATATAATTTAAGCACTGTTGACAAAGCCATTACTGTACATGTTACTTCACGGATGGACACTAACTAATACCTAGTAGGGTACAGAAACATCAATAATCGAGCTCAGAGAAGGCACTTGGTTTGTACCTTCTAGTGAAAAACTACTTGGATTTTTGATGGACAACGCGATAAGTTGATAGTAAAATACTTTCAATATTAGTTCTGACTGAAGAAAATAATAACATCAAATAATAATATTTATCAATATTACTAACTGTACAAGGATAGATCCCGATAGATGCCCGAATTTGCACCGTTACTTTTGACTGTCCTAGCAAGCGACTTCTACGAGTCCCGTGTTTGCGAACGAATCAGTTTGTGTATGTTGCCGTTGAATCAACTCGGAAAAAAACAGTTGATCGAGACTACTAGAACTACCACACAGGGGTTCCAAAATAATATAAGTACGTTCGTTTGATGTTACTTCAACTACCTACCGATAAATGAAGACAAAGTTTAAATCCTTGAGAATGTTTACAATCCACATTTTAGTACTGAAAACTGAATTTGTTTCCTGTTAATAATGAAAGGTCAAATTGAAGAGTGAGTTTCGAAGTACGGCCTAAGAATTAGGGTAAAGTCAGCCAACTTTTGATGAAGACATATGTACATATAATCATATACAATTTAACCAGATAACATAAATAGCTTTAGGTGTTAGTATTGAAGAAACCGTTGTTCGTATGCACTACTTTTTCTATCAGTTGTTTACCTTATATATTGCGGAAGATTAAAATGCCAGTCCGGAAGGGTAATGTAGCCATTTTCGTTATACGTCATATTCATATCAGATTGTAGCCGTGCACTCCATATCCTAACGAAGTACAAACATCAACTAGATGAAAACAGTGACAAGTCTTTCCGAAATGCCATTGATAAATTAATTAATACGTTAGAAAGTCAATTATTTTCATCATTAATGGGTATTATTTATCTATTTTACGATGGTTTTTAGATGTTCTAGAAGTTTACGAAATCAATTTGACAGGAAACAATATAGAATTTACCAGTGAACAGACAACGGATTCTAGTGTGAGTTTATACGGTCTTATATATATTAGTGTATATGCTTGAAACCAACGTTCAGTCTTTATTTATATGTACCAGAGACTCTAGCGATGATGTAGAATCATAACTTAGATCTATAGCTTCAGATAAACGTATTCGAAAAATATTTTTTCTGTAAACGTTGTTCGGCTTACACTCGAATTCTGTTTTAAATGAAAAAAATGCCTTTTATTATCGATAACAAAAAATTACAAATAAGTATTCATGACTTTTGCCACCTAAAACTTTTATAAAGTTCTTCGGACCAGGTTGTTACCCTCTGGTACAAGTTGGTTCCTCCTCTCATAGCTACATTGGAGGCCAGTTCCCCTCTTCCGGGGAACATAATCCCTGTTTGTCCAGTTTATATCTGCCGGAAAAATTTTTAATTGGAGGCATTAAAAGTAAGGACTTATAGTCATTTTTCGTGGTTTGGTGGACTTTGATTAAGCCAAATCCGGTGTTTCGATATGAAATTAAAAAGGATTTACTTCAGTCAGTGAAAGCGTAGGCAGATTGATGAAGAGGCCACGGCGGGTGTCCCTATCTTCGTTAGTTCATACTACTTTTTTATTTGAGCAGTGCATAAGCCTTTGAATACTGATGGCCAGTCTAAGAGACCTAGTTCAGCCAGCAAGGCCACACGAAGCAGCATCAGTTCTTCGAGGTATATGAAGCGTAAACCAAGATGGTTCTCTGTCTAAACAATTTGAAATAAAATTAATGATTCTTTTCGAACCCTGTACGCGCGTTTCGGAGACGCAGCATACACCGATGGCACCACGTCAAGATAGCAGCTGCGGTCGGGACAACAAATGCTTAGCTATGCCTTATTGCGCTAAGTTAGCTCACTTTCTTCCTCTGTTTCACTTTGCTTGTCTCCTCTTTTACATTTCTCACTGTATTGTTTACGTACGTAAATGTATGAAGTAAAGTCATCCAAAATAATTCATATTGGATTTTGAGTTATTGCCATCGCTCACGCAGGGTTCACCTCTGAATGATATATGGAAATTAGATGAAAGATTTATTATATAAAATATCCAATCGTTCGTTCAAATATGAATCAGATTCTGAGCCATCAAAGAGGTTCGTTATTAATAACCGGTAATTCACGAAAATCCTTTAAATTTTCAACAATTTCTCATTAAATGGACGTTGGAAATTTATTCATAGACCGCTGTTTTTATGCAAGTCTGAATGTTTTAGACTGCCTGCCATAAATGCATATCCTTTAGTATATTATCTTAAAACTATTTGTCATCACTTGTTTGTGCACAACGGTTTACATGTCAATAAAAATGATAATTATCGAAATTCTGTTCCTTCTTTGGTAAAAAATGGGTTGTTTTATTTTCGATTTCAGTAATAAGTATAGTAGGTTGGTCAGCCTGTGTTAATCCTTGCTTACTGTTTTTCACAGGAGATAAAGCTTCTCTTTGAAAATATTCCCTTGTGGGGCTGATATCGCTTGTCTACGTAACGCGTCCCGGTCATTGACCACTTGAAGTGAAAAACGGTACCCTACTCTGATTTGACTTGATAGCGATTTTTAAACCTCCTTGCAGTGACCATATAGATGATTAGTTTTGTGGAGGCCGAAAAGATAATACATCATATCTAAATGTTGTTCTTTATAGCTGAACATTATGAGGATATTGCACGTGACTTTTAGATTTATTGCAATACAACAAAAACAACTGAAGTCAAATAATGGATTCCTGAGTAACTTTAATTAACAATATTCTTCAACCGATAGCTTAGAGTTGCCCTAAAATGTTTAATTTGCTACAATCTACAAGATACTTAACTTTAAAGAGCGAATTTCTCCCCAATTCTAAATGTATTTTAATTAACATTACATTGGTTAAAACAATGAACTGTGATCATATTCTTTTTATATATGGGTGGAAACAAGGGTTCTTAGCTTTCCTTGCATACAGCCAGCCGTTTACGGGAATTTCAACGCCATGGAAATTTTGTGGGTACTTAACAGTGACATCAATTTTTTCTCTTCTTTTTTTTACCAAAGTAGACTATTTCGGCCTTTTATTAGGTTTTCAAAGTTAATGCACTCTTTGCTGTTGCAGTTATCTAAAATAGTGGTCATTTCTCATTTTGAGCTAGATAAAAATTCACTTCAGGTAATTTAAGTTGTTAGTTACTATAAAAGTTATACTTCGATCAATTGTTTGAGTTTTCCTTCACTCAGTTTGACAAAGATTTTAACCATTCCCTTTCAGCTTCCATTTTAGCTATTACGTCACCTATTTTCGATAAAATTATGAATGTGCGATTGATAATTGGAAGCATGAGTTTTTTGTCTGTCTATTTAACATGAATAAGGAAAAAAGCCTTTATAAAATAGACAGATCTATCCCTGTTCCCATCTGTAATAGAAGAAAGTTTGTTTATATTATCGTAGTACTTTCCACTAACAGAAACTTGGATGTCGGGAAAGTTAAAGACACAAATAATTAAGAGCAGTTTAGCGCTTTCCCTAGGTTATCAAAGACATCTATTAAAATGACTAATTTGGAAGTCACGTTAGTGATCTTCAGAGTAATAAATGATTTATAAAGAAAACTGCAGAACACATAAAAAAAGCAGTAACAATCCATTTCATCGGAAAATGACTAACGTTCATCAATGCAAATCGGTTCATTTTATTGCATCTTGACCTTCATTTGATTTAAGAAATCTAATTCATGAATTTTAAATCCTTGTAGACAAGTATTTTGTCGTAAATAGCACTAAACTATTAGGATGATTCGATTCTGTGAAAATATTAGCAATGGATTTTGCTTGCATCTATCTGCTACTTGTTTACTATTGATAATAATAATACAGTTAACTTTATATCTTGTTATTTTTAGACTGTTCATCACAGTGGGTCAAATTTTTCTCCTGATAACCAATCATTATTAAAGCCTATGAGCCCTGGTAAGTTCAAGTATTCTGAGAGACAAATTAAAAGCTTCTTTTGAAAATAAAACTAACCTAAAAAGCAATGTAAATTTGTGTTGACTGGTACAGTGAGCTGTAATTATGAAAACTATTTCAACATGTAAACCTCTAGGAAGTAACATCTCTCATACTTCAGATTACTTTCTTGATATTCAAATTATATTTACTAGTTTGTTATCAGAAACAGTAGAATGTTTTCTGAAATTTTCACCTCTATGAAAGTGCTTGGAATATAAGATTGTTACGCCTGCACGTAAACACTTTCTTTTTGATTTTGCGAGTTTACCTTGTCGGATGGTCGAGGATCGAGGATCCGGCCACACGACACACTACTCAAATCCGATTATCCCAACCCCCCTATTGAGTAAAAATAAGAAGACTTGATATGAAGTAGAACCTGTATTCTGCAAGCATCCAGAAAGTACGAGGTCCGAGTCCAGAAGAGGATCAGGATCCTGAAGCAGGGATCCGGGTTCGGTTCTGGTCATAAAACGTTACAGATAATGCGTATTTATACACTTAGGTCGAATTGGAAACAGCATTGAAGTCTGTGTTATTGACAGTTAAGACGACCAATAGGAAGCAACATTTGAAGTGACACTGATAGTCAGGGCAACCATATAATTGAACAGTAGGAATTAGCCAATAGGAATTGACCAATAATTCTCTTAGGATATTGGATGAATATCCTAACAAAGATTTAGATAATGACCGTCAAATGAAGGAACGTTTTCACTGTTCAAATACAAAACATGAATAGTGCTAATGAGACACCAACTGATATCTTATAACTGAACTTAGACAATCAACTCTACGAAGTAAATCTCTCTTCAGAACCAAAAGTATCCTACTAAACAACTAATATTTTCGTAGATCTGTTTTACAGACGAGTCAGAAAATAACTCTTACGAAAGGTACCTGTGATTTTTTTACTTCTAACGTTATTGGATAAACACTGTTGGATTAGTTTAGATGTTTTTGCTGCTGTCCATTATTTAAAATTTCTTGTAGTTCTTTGGACTTCAAGTTTAAATGTATATATGTTTTTCATATTCACACTGATTAGACTTGGAATCAAAACTTATTCATTTTTTTCAGTTTTATAGTCAAAGTTTAGATCGATAATATTCATCGTCACGTGAGATCGATATTAAGTAGCTAAACTGAAATCTTTCTATTGAGTCTACACAATGAGATTATTAAACACTCCTTTTGGGTTTTTGTTTACCGAATAAAGTAAATATTTGTTCAATAAGTACGATGAAAATCAATATGCGTTCGCTTGTTCAATGTTTTTCGTTATCGTGAATTTCATAACATATTGTAACAAACTACCAATACTGCAAATTAACCACCGTAATTAGATTTAATTCATTTTCATACGATTGAAAATAAAAGAAATCGATTTACCAGTGGAGTATGATAACTTATTGATGTAACAGATAACCGTAATTGGCTCGTAAATAAAAGCAGACGATTGGGTTCGCTTAATAGTTCAGACAATATTTAACATGACAAGGTCTTTTTCGTTATTCTGGTTCAACAATCCAGTTTTGAGTCGTTGGTCTGATACTGTGTGAACTTGTGTAAGTGTATATCACATGATCGTATAATCAAGTTTCCAGGTCTTATTGTCATGCCTAATCGAAAATTCGTTGGTTTCTTGCTAATGTACTGATTAATATTACCAAAGTATAAAGGATAAAATATGCTTTTAACGATCATAGATGTTGTTTTTTCGTACATAATCATGAATTTACTGACTGCATGAATATTGACAGTTGATTTATTATCAGTTTGCTTAATAAGTGCCAATGTCTTCAGAGTAAAAACTAAACGTTCCTCAAATTTATAAAAGTAATTTAGTATTCGATTTTCATGTTAAGTGATTGATATGAATTAATAGGAATAAATCTAATTTAAGCTTCTGATTAGACAAAAACGTGATCAAACATTATATGACTCCTAAAGTTAAATGTAGCTCTCAGCTATTTTAGAATTCAATTTTAACAGTTTATTGCCGATCACATCTATTGAATATTTAAAAGTGTATCATTCGTATATAAATAATGTTTCATATACAGCGCACTCTCAATATAACTGGATACTGTTTTATGCAAACCTAATGATCCAATATAATGGAAAATTGTTTTCTAAGAAACAACCGAGTATATTTTGTACGGCATTTGTTTAGTTATTAAACAGAATGATACCTCAAAGCTCATATTACCGCATAACTATAACCCCAGATGTAAATTTGACGGGCAAAGGGTAAAAATACTTGAAATAGAGACGTTTGCAAGCGATTTACTTTGATTCAAACGTGACTAGTACATATGATAGAATATGGTCAATCAATATGAGGATTATAGAAAATGTCATTAACAGTAGTTCAGCAAACAAAAGACAGGATTTTTCTCAACAACTGCATCGATAATTCGTTGATCAACTGAATGATGACTAAGGTGTTTGCATATGTTTTAAGTTTCTTGCGAAGTAAAATCCAGCTATTTCCCAGAGATCTCTGTTTCGTTTGTTTGTGAAACTTACTTTTGTGGAACTTCTTAATTTGAAAGTAAAATTTAACGTTACCAAAGGCTGCTAATCTCACTGAATACTAAAATTTAAAATTGTGCCAAAACTTTCGATAATTGTTTTCGAAATCTTACATTAGACAACATTGCAGTCGTATCTTGTCAACCTTGTTTCGCGATTAGTATGGGATGGAGTCAAGTGAATATTTGCAAATAAACTTTCTAACTCTGTGTTTTGATTAACTTCCAACTTAACATCTGTCAAGTCTTGTCGACATCATATAATGAACCGGTAGTATTTCATTGTTTCCTTAGATTGTGATGAATAGTAAGATTTTAAAACATCACCAATCTAAAATAATGGGCCTTATATGACTGACTTTAGGTAGACATTCAGAATAATTCTTTAGCCAAATTGAATTGATTAGCATCCTGATGGATTGGCCTACTCGTTTAAACATATTCACGCAAATGTATAGTACTCTGGTTTCATTTTCCGGTGAAAAGTTGTTACTATTTGATTGATGAAATGTTATCGCATATACTGTAGACATACATTTATGCAGAACTGTTCAAATACTTTTTAAAGAAGGAATGTGACTTAGTGTTCAAACCCAGAGCATTCAAGCCTCAAATCGTAAGAGTATAAGTATATTTTGTATTACTTGCCATAATCAATAAACCTACATTCTAACCAACCAATCACCGGAAAATATTTATCATCTTCGTGATTTAACAGTCACTTTGTTGACCACATGACCAGAACTTCAGAAGTACTGTAGAGCATATGAATGCTGTACTTATATCATGTTGATCATTGTATAGATACTTACAAAGTGTTTGCTCTGTCCATTCTAGTAAACAGTTTACTTTTAATGTGGTGAGGACCAATTATCTATGTTTGCTATTTATTTGTAGATCAAGTTTCAGTGAAAGGGGAATGGGAATATCTGGATATCATACTAAAGCGTGATTCAACTGCAGTAGGTGGATTTGGTTTTAGTATTGCCGGAGGACTTGATAATCCTATTACTGGTGTGGATCATGGAATTTACGTCACAAGAATAGCGCCTAATGGATGTGCAGATAGAGATGGTAAACTGAGGTAAAGTAATTTTATCTTTCTTAGGTGTTTGTTATAGATTCGTTTAGTTATTTTTTTTCAAAAACCTGATAGTTTTGTCATAGTGTTTATTCTAGTTCAGTAGAAGACATTATCGTTTTAACAAAGGAAAAAGTTTTCTTTCAGAAGTCCACTCTTCACATTTTTTAACTACCTATTACAATAAATAAGCTAAGCGATTATTCTTAATAATTGATAGATTATTAATCCGAACCATTAGTTGCATTAATTTGCTTCCTTTATGCTAGTTATAATCATATTGATTAACTAGCCGGTTCCTAAAATTTAATTCTTATTTTTATGCAATCCTTGAGAAATTTACTGATTCTCACACCCAACCTTACACTTACACATTTCCCGCATTTTCGTACTCATGTAATTAACCCTTAATAATCAACCTATTTGCATTCTGTTCTATTATTATTATTATTATTATTATTACGTTAGGCCACCCACATATATTTAGTTGTTATTCATTTCACGATCAGATGTAAAGCTATGTAAAAATATTAAGCATTTATGATGAGCAGCTACCTAACTATCAAAAACATTTCTTCACTGAAATTGTATTTCGTTAGAAACATTATAAAATTTTAACTACAAGTATTTAACAGTACATCATGCTACTCCAATCTCTACCTTGAGTATTAACATTTGTTTTTACAACAAACAGAATACCTAGGCATATTTTATTTCCTGACTGAAGTTTGCAACTTATCTCTCTATAATTAATTACTTAATTACTTACGCCTGGTACCCCCAATGGAGCATAGCCCGCTCACCAGTTTTCTCCAACCAACTCTGTCCTGGGCTTCACTGTCCAGTTCTGTCTAATTTTTGTTCACTTTTCTCATGTTTTTCTCTATTTCCCAGCGTAATATGTTCCTTGGCCTTCCTCTTTTCCTTTGACCTTGAGGGTTCCATGTGAGGGCTTGTCTTGTGACGCAGTTAGGTGCTTTTCGTAGTGTGTATCCTATCCACTTTCACCTCTTCTTCCTGATTTCCTCCTCCTTTGGAACCTGGTTTATTCATCTCTCTTTAATAGCATTGTTTAATATATTCTCTCAATTATTCTCTCAATTCTTTGATTATGACATCTGAGAAGTTTCCTATTGCCTTCATCCTAAAAGCTACAAATCAATCGAATTCAGCCATTCAATTATGATACTCAGAAAATAACAACTATTTGAATACTTTCTTTTAAGTTAGCATTAATTACAAGCTTAAGCTTTGATAGGAACAGTTACTCTATTTAAAGCTGAATTTTTATGGCCCGATGAAGTAATCATCGTGTTGATCTATTCGTTTGAACTAAGATCTTAAATCGAAATTCATTTACGTTTGTTCGTTTTGAATTGTGCTGGTTCATAACGTACTACACAGTGCATTAAACTTCTGTCAATACTTACTGGGTAAACAAACTAATTAAGTTTTTGTTTATTATAAAATTTAGAACACAACAAACTGTCTTTTTATAATTTTAGCAAATACTGGAAATTATGATAACAGAGTTCTTATTATCTCATAACTTTAAAATCTGTTCGGCGAACTTATAATAACCTCTTAGACCGAATATCTACTTCCCTTGTTTAAAACTGCATCATGGTAATGAATAGAACAAGGGTATAAAGTGTGTTCGTTCTACGATTTTTGAGAATCTATTCTGTGCAAATAATATTATCAGACACCAGATACTTTATGATAAGACTAAATATTTTTAACATTATGACACTTTTATGATTTTATAGGATTCTAGTTCACAAAACGAAGACGAAAAATATCTCAAAGTCTTGTACTTTTATTATAAAACAAGATAAAAACTATGAATTCGCTAACGACCAATGGTCAGGCGTTTAGGTGTCAGTCGGTTGCAAGGTAGAACTTCGTACATGAGTACATCAGTTCATGTTGCCAAACCACATCAGCATAGAGACGCAACTGTAAGTTCGAATCCCATAATGGTATAGATAGCAGACGTATTATCAGTAATAATGAAGGAGATTAGGGTTCGAAGATATGATTCGAGAAGTAAAATTCAGTGAGATAACTTAAGAAAGAGAAAGACAGAGATGATGAGGATTTCAGAAGATTAAAATTTGAGATAATGAATGAATGCATCTTCGCCATTACAAACGATTTTGAGCCATGTCATTCAACGCCTCTAACCATCGATAACTTTCATCTCGCAGACTCCAGCCAGGTAGCCTACATCTGCCGACATGACTTAGTCCACTTGTCAGTGACTTCATGGATTTGTGCCATGTTTTGGTTTGCCGCCCCTAGATTTTATTCCAAGAAAATTGTATTCCACACTGATTAACAAGAATAATGTTCTAACGTGTATTAAAAATCAAAAAGTAGCACAAACTTAAATCTACGTAAAGTACCAGTTAATATTAAAAATAAACTGGATACTATTATAAAAGTAGATAAAACCATTCAAAATTAATTAATTTCTCATGATTAATGGGATAAATAGATGATCTACACGGTGGATAGAGAAATGGAAACTTCGTTACGAGTATATGTTATAACTAATTCATCGAAATAAGGAGTAACATTGATTAGGATTGACTGATTATGACAACAAATAAATGTCGTAGTACACGAACTATAAAAAAAATCGATTACAACTGAAACTACAGATTACCAATACTTAAGTACAATATGATAAAGAAATACAGAAAGAATGGAACGGGAAAACTATTTACAGATTCAATATCTTGCATTGTAATCCTGTTGTGTAGTTTCACTTAATTGGTAATAAAACAAATCTTGAGTCATTTTTTTTATACATTAATTCTTAATTCAAAGGGTTGATGATCAAATCCTAAGTGTCAATGATATCAGTTTAGAGCATGTTACAAATATGGAAGCAGTGAAGACATTAAGACAAGCTGGTAATCAACTACACTTAGTAAGTTTAATCTTGATTATGCCTAGAATTTTCTATATTTTAATTTTATGAATAATAGAAGAAAAAAACATGAGTATAAATATATGCCAATGTGATTCAGTTTTTAGAAGATTCAAAATATCTAATATGTACGGGTTTGAATATGTTTTTCCTAGTGAACTTTAATTTCTCAATGTGTACAAATGGAATTCCTGTTATCAAAGAATGAACAGCTACTTCTAAGTTTAATAGAGCTGGTAATTTTTCCATTGGTTTTATCCATTGAAAACAAGTCTCTGAACTACTCTTTATTTACTGTTGTGATTCTAAACTTTTAATATATGATTAATTATCATTTTAATAATAAGATTTTGTTCAGCAGCGAAGATCCTCCTTTAATTATCTGTGACTACCATTCTCCTCAGACTTCACGTCAGTTATTGAGGCTATGGAGTGATTGCTCGACCGTAGTTGCTACCTTGAGGTGGCAGTCGGTCTTGTCGATCATGAGGTCTCAGCTGAAGTATACTGACTTAAACACATGCTTCCTTAAGTCTTACAATGCCAGGTAAGTTGACTGAAGAACAGTAAAACTAAAAGCAGCAGCTTAAGGTTTGAGGAAAAATTCAAACTGCTATCTTTAAAGAAGTGTGAGAGCAGTAAGACGTTTCCTTCGGACATCCAGCATCTGCAGCGATACTACCTCCCAATAGAAGGAAGGAGATAGAAAAATTTGAACCTAAAAACTTCACACCTCATCTTTCCCCACAGATTTCCGTATGCTGTGGCAAGACTTTTTGTAGAGCGGAGCTAGTACATTAAAACTCCCCATAAAAATGTGTGACTGGCTTCTAGCGATTGTCCAAGGTCGCCAAGACCAACGCTAACCTAACCCTTTTCAAGTCCCTCACGAAGAAATACCCTCCCATAGCGAGGGCAACCGGGAAGGGACAGCCATCTTTGTACCTCTAAAAGTATACAAGATCAACTTGTTCACAATCAAACTCTTCCTACATCGTTTAAAAACCCCCCTATCTCCACAACTGACTCTTCTGGCATTCTTTATTGTCAGACAATACCAGCGTTACCGATTCCAGTGCACTAAATGTTATTTTTGGTCTCCTTAAACCATACTTTAAACTATAATTTTTTAACCTTATGCCAGATAGGACAACAGCCTTATTTGAGCCATTGATGTATGCTACATTTCTTAAGCGTGTATACAACATTCAAGTAAAGTCATCACGGGACCTTACCTTCTGATTACAAAACGAAACCAACCGGATTTACCTGTCGCGCATCTGAAGACCCAACTGCTGCTTTCCGTAACCTCGCTGGTGTAGTTATATCATTAAGATAAGGAGTAGAACTAGCTCCCATAGACTGGATTACAGTAGGTAGTTGCTTGTGCGTTATCAGGCTAAACGGGACGATAAAAACTAGAAAAGTTGGGATCATGCGCCTCCACTTTTTCATTGTCTCTGTCTTTGCTTCCGTTAACTCCAGCTCAGATGAAGTAAAAGATGAACTTAGAATAAAGCTTTCAAGCCTCCTTCTTAAAGCTAGGAGCTTTGATGCGGTAGTTGTGGTGGGTGACTTTAATCTCCAAGTGGGCAGACTAAACGGAACCGAAAAATGTTTAGATGGATTTTATAGTGTTGTGAGCCAGCAAAGAGACAATGGTTGTAATTAAAGACATGAAGTATTGTAAACAAGGACGGAAGTCCAGATGATACAAAAAAAGTAGTTAGAGAAGACACAATCTACTAGCCTAAATGTGTGCACATCACCATAAAACACCCATTTGCCAAACAAGAGTATTCTTGGTTATCTTCTATTACTCAAGATACTCAGATCACGCCATAAATCCGGTTCCGACACTCTACTTCAGCCGTACCTTTAGGGCGACACTGCTGCATACTGCTTGTAGGCTCTGTCGTAAGTAGTAAAAACCAAATAGTGACCATCTGTTGCATCTATGCTCGATTAATCGTCTACTTCAACAGAGCACCAATATTAAACATACTGAGCTCATGATCAATGGTTATCGAAGTTGCTTAGTACAAGTGATGTTCGCCAGTGTTGTCCACCTTCTCAATTCTTATTCATCTTTTTTCATTGACATGCTTTTACAGTTGACACTTTGATTGTCTGACTTTTCAGGGGGTTAAACGTCTGCCAGGATATTCACTCATTGGTTCAGATTATGCAGATGATGTAGTTCGGTCCCGTGAAGACGCTGACAAAATGCAAAATGTTACTTCAGGACTTGTGTGCGTCGGCGCCTGATCTAGCGATAAGGAATGAAGTAGTTGAGCATGTTAACCGCTTCACTCATCTTGGTATTCTCACAGATGCTGATGACCTGGTGACTGACGCATTCTCTGCATGGGTACAGAAGTCTCGATTGGCTTTTGCTGACTCGCATCATTTGTGGCGTAGGCGATATATTCGTCTGCTAACCAAAGGACGAGTATACTGCGCATCAGTTCACTCCAGTAGGAGTAGGGCATATTCGTAGGGTACTAGTATTCGGTCGTAGGTGTCTTCGAAGCACTGCTCGTGAATCCTGGGACAGTTGAGTAAGTAATGCCTGGGTTAGGAAGAGGGTACTAGGTAGAGATGGCAGATATATTGATGAAGTAGTGAATCTTCATCATTTGAGGTGGTTGGGACACGTGTTACGTATGCCTAACCACTGACTACCTCGATCGGTCATGTAGTATGATATTTGGCAATTATTTGGGTCTTTTGGTCTGTGGTTGTATCATAGGAAACTTTTTTGGTTTGAATTATCTAACCAATAAAACGATATTACCATGTGATATGTTTTTTAAGGTAGTTTTATTACCTCAGCATTGGTGGAATTATCTGTTTAAAATTTTTCCTTACTAGGTTGTAATATTTTCTCGAAAATTCTGTTTAGGTTGTGAGGCGATTTGTTGGGAATACCGGAATAACATCACCGGATCGAATGGTCGGACAACATACTCCATCCTATCGTTCACCAGAAGTTTTGTCTGATGCAGAAGACAGTGGTTCAACTCCAATATGGTATGAAGTAAGTTTTGTATAAATATACATCAGTATGAATCAATATTGTGTTATCCACTATATGACCAGTGCAAAAATTTATTGTAACTCAGTATGGAAAAGGTAGTCGGTTAACTGAATCTCTGGAAACTTCAGTGTAAATTTTTTTCAGAAAATGTTATGTCCTCGTAAGTTAAACTCAAATAACCCGATAGTGAAGTTTGCACGTTTGTTGTGGTGAGGTCGTGCACAACAGCTAAGATGAAAATGTCTTTTGTGATGGCAATAAACCATGACATTTTCAGTTACAGTTTTGGAGATTTGTGTTTTGACAATCAATCATTGTTAGACCACCATTAGAAACCTGGAATGTGTAAAAACACAAATCCTGAAAACTCTAACTGAAAATATCGTAAAATGTGCTCACTAGTGACTAGCTCCGTGAGGAAATTCTCGGAGTTGTAGTGAGAAGATGTGACCAATGGAGTGCAACCCTGTCGGGTGTAATCAGTAACTACCAAAGGCAAATGGGTCAGGTCGCGCAAAATCCCTAGATCAATCAGAGTTAGACATTAACACCGTTGGATTCCGGCCCAGAGGTCCGATGGTTAGGCGTTCGCGCACAATACCGAAGGTCCTGAGTTCGAATCCTGCGAGGTGCAGGAGTCGTGGATGAGCACTGCTTATGAGTCCCATACCAGGGCCAAACGGCCGTCCAGTACTTCCAGGTTTCTAATGGTGGTCTAACAATTAATTGATTGATAATTTCAAGTAAACCATGAGTTTGAATCTTCATATATCTAAACAACTATTGAGAAATTACATTTATACGTATTTGCTTACTTGTTGTAACTCAACTTCTTAACGTTAGAAAAAGTAGTTTGAATAAAAAGTAATTTTAAAAACAATATACTGGCTGAATTAATTCAATAAATTTATTTGCTAAAAAGCATTTTTATTAAAATAGCTGTCATAATACAGACAAACCAACAGTGTATATAGCCGAAAGATAGTTTAACAGATATCTGAAATCAGACTAATAGGTTTGTATATATACAAGAGGAAAGACTATTGCATTATTTCGGAGTTCAAGTAGTCATCATGTATGAAAAGTCTCAATTATATCACGATACAAACAAAATATGCTAGCTATTTTCATGTCATGATTGTTCACTGTTGGTATGATCTGCAATCTGAATCAAACCACCGCACATTTTATTGAAACTTTACCTATCCAAAAAGACAGAGAATGACTAGCGACAACACCGGAAACTGTATACATAGAGCAGCACTAAAGCTTCATTGTATCTGTAGACAATAGGAATGATATAGACAGTGAACGTATATGAAATTATCTTAAGTAATTAAATAGCTCAAATACTCATTATATCTTGTCTAAGCTTTCATCTGACTTACCATTCAACCTTGACACATCATGTTAATTAACAAGTCTGGTATGCTTGAATGCTATTACGAGTTCACTTTACTCGGTAACCGAGAACGAAGACAAATGATCCAGTGACACGACAGGCTATTCTAATCCGTTTGTCCCAGCCCCAGCTAACTAGATCAATAAGTCTTGATAAGGCGTAGAAAGTGTATTCTACAAGCACATAAATCCAGCTTATACAATGATATAGTTGCCCTTGGGAGAGCAACAAAACCGCATACTAAAATAGTCCACCAACCAATCACAGTCAAGGATTTTCCGAGGGAAAAATGTGAACTGAATGTCAATTGGCCCAAAAAACATGGAAATCCAAAATTTCAGAATAAAATTACAAAATTAGGACCTTTCCAAGTGAATGAATTCTAGGGATATGACGTCCCCAATAAAATCCTGTTCTATTCACTCTATTTATTCCATGTCTATAAAAACAAGTTCGAACTTTACTATCGAAAACTTTATAACTTCAGCTTAAACAGGCCTGTGCTAACAAAAATAAAGTTAAAATTCGTAGAATTCAGAAATGTTGTTCCACCTTATTGCAGTGTTTGTTTTGAATGACTGAGACGCCTATTATCTCTTTCAAATTCATCATTTCCAACTGCAATCTAAGTTCCACATTGCTGTCTACAGTTATACCCCAGAAAATAAAGTGTTAAATTTCTTCAATACACCGGACGAATTTCAATGCTTCATTTAATTTGCACTAAGAAAAAATATTTCACTTCGTCTATCTCCACGAAGTTACTTCTATGGTACTTGATCAATCGTACCTTTTCATAAAACTCTGGGTTTTTTTGAAGTACTCTAAACCGGTCAGTAAATTACTGTATTTCAGGTTCAACTCCGTAAACCACGTCCGAATTGTGGACTAGGTTTCAGTATTGCTGGTGGTCAAGATGTTGAAAATGAGAACTTCCCTTCAACTGGGATATTTATTACACGCATCAGTCCGGGTGGATTAGCTGATTTAGATGGTCGTATCATGCCTGGTGATCAGTTAATGCAAGTAAGTCATTGTGCTTCACTTTAGTTGTCTCAATTCCAATTGCTACAGAATTTAAAAATAATGATAGGAAACGTAGATTTTATCACTTGGCTTAGAGTTGTGATTAGGGAGTTAAAAGAAAAAGGAGTTACTTATTCTTTCATATCTATTCAATGTATTTTTGTTATCCATAGAAAAGTCCTACATTCTAAATCGCCCAATTTTTATTTTTCAACGGCAAAAAACTTACCTACTAATTTCTGCAATTACAGACTATTTTATTCATTATAAATCACAATATTAGTCATTTTTTTATGGTTGCTTCCACGGTGTGGGCAGCCGGGAAGCGACAACCGCCCTCATACCCTTAACAGCACACGAGATTAAATTGGTCAAAATCAAATCCTTCCTGACTGACTTTTATGGTTGCAGACAAGACTATCTGTGGTTAGAGACCTTGAACGACATGGCTCAGAAAAGTTTGAAATGACACAGATGTATTTATTGATTGTGTTCTCTCAAATTCTAGTCTTCTGAATTTCTCGTCATCTGTGTCTTTCTCGTTCTACAGTTATCTCACTGAACTATACTTCTTGAATAATGTCTTCGAACCCTAACCTTTTCCATCACTGCCAATAATTCTGCTATCGCAATTACTATGGGATTCGAATTGACAGTTACGTCTCTGTGCTGATGTGGTATGGAAACTTGAACTTATGTATGTACGTACGAAGTTATACGTTGTAACTAACTGACTGACTGATTTTCTATAGGATTACGGTTTAATCTAGTTCAAAATACATTTGAAATAACAGTTATACGCACCGCTTTTCATGCTTTCATCTTTAAGTAAACATTAGAATACAGATTTCTAGTTATCTATGCTCAAATGAGAGAAAAGAAACGATACACTTACATTGTGACAATGAAATTTATATTGATCAATCTTTTAAATATGGTTTCATTCAATTATCTGTATTTTTACTTAAATCACACATATAAAGTGCGTTTGTAGTGAACGAGAACACAGGTGGGGCAACCGGATTGTATTTAACGTAAATTACAGAGTTACTCAGTAAAATCGGAAAACCATATGGTAAATCGTTAATTTGCAAAATATCAATCCATCTTATCGAACTGGACTGTTCCTGTTGCAAAACATCAATCGATTGTCACTATTCATGTGTTTCATACAAATTCCATTGTGTTCTAACTCTTCCTTTCTTGATCTTCCCCCATCTTCTGCTGCCGGACATTACGTTGACACTCACGTCATATACTACGTATACGTAGCTCACACCACATGTTTTCATACTGTTTGCTAATCAATATTTTCATGTTCGATATATTCTTTGATGAATAATCAGCATTCATTTTTTGATTTCTCTTACTATCATATTCTAATGTCATAGGTGAATGAAATCGATCTAAGTCGTGCTACTCATGAAGAAGCTGTTCGAATACTTCGTAATGCAGGTGATATTGTGAATTTAGTGTTAACACGTCAACAAGTAGAGAGTTTTGCTGACGAACGTGGTTCGTTCGAGCGGTCAGTAAACAATGAATCAACGCGTAAATATCAAATAAGCAGTAATCGAAAACTTTATCAGTGAATCATTAATGAAATCCGTAAACATTTTATTTCGTATAGTATTTATTACGTAATCATTTCTTTCTGCGCTAACACAGACTGTAAATAGTTTTACCTATATGTGTATGAAACATTTTATATGCTATTATCATTACAAATAGATTACCGCTTTTGTAAATAAAATAAATGTGAATTTTTTTCAACTATATACAATTGTTCCTACCTTAAGTCGATGTTTTTATTGGTTGTTCCTCAAAGTTGGATTATTTGTTGAAACTCTAATTTTATCGTATCTCCAATAACAACCAATCAAAATCGAGATCAACAGAACAGGTTACGAGAAATCCGAATACTTCACCTTTATCTGAAGTTTGTGATGAAGTTCTTGAGGCGAACAATGGAAGTTCTACAACCAAAGCATCGGACTCAGCGAACGAAACACCATCACAATCATCCACCTGAGCTACAAATTTTCTCCACCAGCTCAAATTACAATTCTGCTCATATACCTTTTGTCCAAGCTTAATCAGCGTCTACAGTAACAGATCTCTGATTTAGTTGTTCTATACGTTTCCTGGACACCATTTCATCCTCGTAACCCCATTATTTCTGATTTGCATCATCTTGGTTGATTGGAAGACGTCCGGTATAAGGTGTGACTTTGATGAGCTCGTATGTAAATAGTATGCTATGTATGCGAAGAAGTTCCATAATCTTTCACTGCTAAAAAGGTTCTGGAAAGAAATAGAAAGAGCAGTATGTAATCGCACATATGACCAGAGCAGAGACATACAAAGTAAGTAAATAGATAAGGCTCATATAGGCTGCCAAAGTTAAAATAATTTGTAGTTATATAATCTACAAACTAGGAGGAGTACAGCAATCAAGTACAATGAGTTGCGTCGTGTGTAAAGGTGTATAGAGTCAGGAAAACAGAAGAGAAGTTGAAGTAAGAAGCTTAATGTCTGTACATAAAAGACGATGATATAACAGGAAAAGCGACATTTGTGCAAAATGGTGGTAACGATATTGTCCATTGTACAACCGCAGCATAAAGTTGAAAACAAAATTGTAGCAGGGAGCAAGTGTATGAGAGCAAATTCAGTATCACTGGTCGTCCCATTTGTAAGAAAGCGTCGATAGGAAGAAACTTGGTATGAGCAGTAACTACGACGAACATGTACTTAAGGTGCATTTGCATGAAAGAAGCTCCATGATTGCTCACTGGTAACACGGTTCTGAAAAGAAACAAAAAAGGAAAAAAGAGCAACCAGGTGATTGGATGTACAGATTGCAGACAGCATAGTGCAAAGCTTCGTGGGCTGCTTTTAGCCAACATCATATAGATATTCAAAAAGTTACATGAATTTGAGGAAAATGTTGACAATTGTGAAGCTACAAAGTAAGGTCCAGTAACTGCCTCGTGTAGTTACAGTCAGTGTGTGACTACAGCAGCAACCTTTAACGGCCTCGTATTTTGCTTTCACTAAACCACACTTAGATGTGGCCACTTGAAAATCTATCAATAAAAGAAAAGCTTAATCATGGGATTGACAAAGGGTGGAACTATTTCATTTAGTAAATTCGACGGAATTGTAGACGTATTCAGAACGGTTTGAATAAAATAGCGATATCCATCAGAAACTTCCTCAGACGCTGTCTTATCATGAAACCTGAATGTTTGAAACAAGGCGTTCATTACCATGTTGGACTGAAATCAAATATTAATAATAATACTTTATTCTCATTTAACTTGTTACAAGAGGCATAAGATTTCTGCGGCAATAAAAAAATGGTGAAATCGCAAACACATTTTTTATAAATAATTGTTCACTTAGATAAATAATTAACAAGATACACTGGCTTTCTATAGACGGTTAATATTTTCACGTAAAATTGTAAATGTTCTGTACTCCGGAATGTACAATACGATAGTTGGAGCGAGTTATGTCGTTTGTGATGAACCACTGCTGGTTGAGATTTACTACAAGTTAAATCCAGGTTTGTTTATAACAAGAAAAAATCGAGTAATTAATTGTTCATTGATCTACATGTTAAAATTCAAAATATAACTTGAGTAACACAATAGGTAGGTAAGAATCAGGATATGTGAATGGGGAAACAAACATTTCTTAAATTTTTAATCCATGAACAAGATGGAGCTCACAATGATACAGGATAATTTCAGTTCCTAGTGATGGACTGTAGTTGAGCAGCTCCAAAAGGCTTTTCAATCTATCTGTCTATTAGAAATAAAAACTGACTGAGATTTGAAGAACAAGAAGATAATGATGAGACTTTAAATTTGAAGAAAACTCCGAATGTCACGGATAGTACCTCAGAAGCGTGACCTACTACTGTTAGTACGAGTAGGTTAATTTGTCTATCATCTCGCGATACCTGTATTGATGGTAATTTGGGTGTGATATGTTCATGGTCCGTGATTAATTTCCGAGGTTAATCTATATATTTGGTGGACCAAAAACCAGTGCCTCAGCATTTGGTGTGAGTTCCGCAAACAGTCCATAAATTACTTTCGAGTCTAATAACGGCCTTACTAGTTTCTCGAACCTAGCGATTGTGTCACAGATACAGATGGATACTAGTTATCTGTTCCACAACAAACTGTATCGAGTTAACGACAAATTAAAACGCAATAAATTTTCGTGCTTGCCTTTAGTAGTGTTAATACATTATTTTTAAATCTGTAAGCTGAGTCTTGGTTTATAATTGGGCTAGATTTTACAAACCGGATGCTATATATTGTTTTATGAAGGAGCTTTAAGTTGTTTTTCAACCGACGATGCCATAGAGGTTCTAGGGAAAGATGTTTGTATCTTTCTGTGTAGTCGAGAGTATGATCGTATCTTAGCAGTTTCTGTGTGAAGCTTCTCTGGACATTTTCGACTCGTATGTTGTACATGATATTCGTTTCTAAAAAGATAAATGAGCGATGTTCAAGTGGGGACCTTTTGTACATTTTGAAGAGTTTAAGCTTAGCCTCATTTTTCAAGAGGTTCTTATTTATAAACCCCATTGGCAGTACAGATTTGGAGATAATATGAGAGCTATGTTCCTTTAATTTTAGGCTTCTGAAGTAATGAGTATCCAGACCATGCGCTGATATGAGTAGCTGAACCCTACATTTTCGTAAACAGAGTGGTAATTCATAGTGATGCTTACTACTGTGTATGATTCCACATATGTTGTGGTTATAGGTGTCTTAAATTTTTATCGAGCTGTTGTGGTACATTTTAGATCGCTTAATGGACTTGTGGTGAGCAAGTCAAGATACCAGATTGACTATGCTTACCACAAAATGTTCCATAATATCCCGCCGTCATTAATATCAAAATAAATCCATGGTTGAGTATTTTATTGGAGTAGAACGTTGACATTACATGTGGAGCAGGGCATTTAGAAAAATGGCAGCAACGCGAAGAGAATGTTGCGCGCAAGAAGTAGTAGAAGTGCTTTTGGTACAGTTAAACAAAACGAGTACAATAGTGTTTATTTTTCACAAATCGTATTTTCTTCGTAAAAGCGTTCCTTTTCAGTAGACCCCGCCTAGAAAGGGTTTACACTTTCGATTCATAACGGCTGCGTTCGGATGGGGGGGTTGGTCGGCCAACATTTGATCGTAGTGCGGAAGGGTTGACGAACAGGTAGCGAACAATGAAGCTCGAGTTGTCACCGATAGTCTTCTACGTTGAACTGTACCAGTAGTAACGTGCCAGGTTTGCTGTTCGGTTTGACGTGCCAATTTTTTCTATCGGATTGGCATGCCACACCAGCGTGGCTCGTATCCAGAGTCTGAAGATTGCGTTGGTGGGGATTCGCACCAGATAAAGCTGCAGACGTCGGACGGAATCTGAATGAGCTAAGGAGCCAGAAACAACCAGTACGAAACCATTCATATACCAGATATATTCGTGACCGGAAAATCGACTAAGTGCATTGACAAGAGCTTGGGTGATCAGGCCAGCTTTAGCCAAGGTTGTCTGAAGTCGACGGCACCAACAGGGCAATGGTCGGAGGTATAGGCTCGGGATAAAAGCATCAAAGAAAGGGAGAAAAGTGTAGCATGCATGTAGTATGAGGGTAAAACCCTATGCCTCAACCGTGGTTGATTGGTAGTCAGTAGAGAAAACGTTCAGGTAGGCGTACGCGTTGACCGGAACGCGAGACAGTAGCCTGGTGCGTACCTCGTGAGCCTGCATTCTCGGCCGCAGTCAAGTGCGACGTGGTCTGCTGATCTGGACGTGAGACCGGAGTCTCATCGGTAGATAGTGCAGATGATGCGTACTGCTGACTGGGACGTGAGAATGAGGTCTTTGGTTTATCTAGCATGGGATCAGAAGGATAAATAGGGATCCCGCTAATGAGTCGGACGAGTCCAGCAATAAATCAAAATATACTAAGTATGGTACTGAAAATGACGTGTGCTGACTGTGTCCAGCAGCCTTGAAGGTCTTATTATGACGAAAGATCACGTTAAAAGACCTTCGTAAGGTTGTTGAGTACCGCATCTACTAGTAAGAAAGCTTTCGGACAGGGAAATAATTCCCGAAGGAGAGCGACCTCGATGTTATATTCGAGTTCACACCGGAGGCAGTATTCGCATCTACGCAGATAGTGGTTGGACGTTATCTGATATACATAAAATCGCTGCTCCGTGGTGTGAAAAAATTCCCCAGGCAGATGCAATGTCGTGCCGTATACAAGTTCGGAGGCGGAACATTGGATATCTGCCGTTGCTGCTCCGTAATCGCCGTGTCGTCTCCAACAAATGCCATCTTTCTGCGAACCGAGTGAAGAGAGGAGTCTTAAGGACTGTGAGAAGGACGAAGTAATACATATAGCGAGTAAACTGTCAAACTCACGCTAAGCGAAAACTAATTTGTCCAGTGCCGTAACTGGGGGTCTGCAGGGGACGATGTGGCTTACCACATAAATAACCACCAGTTGAATCTCTTCGGTTCGTTACTTTGGGGAGTTTATCGAATATAACATGAAATAAATAGTAATGCAAAAAAATATATATTAATGATTCGGTACATATCTGTTTGCGCGTTAAAAACCATGGATTTGATATTCGACGAAGTATCGATTAACGCAGCCTACGTGAATCGAATAGCAATTCATAGTGCTGTAAGGGATCGATACCGAGTATGGCTATGGGAACATCAGAAGGGATGAACGTCCATAGATACTGTCAATTATTCAGG